CCTAAAGCTGTTGGTAGCTGGAATCCATTATTTCCTCCCCATACGTTGTTCAGTGCATCTCTGCAAGTGAAGATACCTCCCTCCCAAAAAACAAAGAATGAAGCTCTAACTAACCGTGGAGTGAAATGCCCCCCCTTTTCTCCAGGCCCACCCTCCTTCTCCTGGTATCCCTTTGCTTTTGTCATTAACCTAATGTTCTGGTTTTGTGACGCCACAATTGGAAATTTCTTCCATTCATGGGGTTTGTTGTTTTTTGGTTCTTTTTTGCATAAAATCAAAGCAGTTTTGGAACTGCATGTTTGAAAGGACAGGGGGAAGCTTTCCACCACACCAGAGCTACCATTAACACCCCCCCCCCCAATCTGCTTACTAAATTCTGTAAAAAGTTGATCCCTTTTTTCATATAAGATCCAGATTCTCCATGTTATGACCACTCAGGGCTGTTATGGGCCAAAATGTGGGAAAGTTGCATGCAAACCAACAGAGCAAGGATATCATCAGGAAAAAATGGAAACAACTGAACTTGATTAAATTGTGAGTGGCATTGAGGAATGGGGTTAATTATCTAGAAGAAACAAATAATGGAGTCTGTTAAAAGCTTGTGTGAAAAGAGGTATTTTAGGTGGTGGTGTAGACTGCTTTGTGTTATAAAAACATGAGTTCAAGAAAGGATAGCTATGAATGAAAAATGCAAAGAACAAAATGTTATTGGCAGTTGAAATGTGTGTGAGATTCTATTATAAGAAGGATGCTTTTCTTTTGTGTGTGTGTGTGTGTGTGTATTTGTGTGTGTGTAATATTTGTTGTATGCTCTATTATATTGTGTGTGTGTGTGTAGTGTGTGTGTGTGTGTGTGTGTGTATATATATATATATATAAATGAAGTTTGATTATTTAAAAGTAAAATCAGAAATTAACCTGAAGTGGCATGTTGCGAGTGGGACTAGATTCCCTTGGGGGTCTTTCTTCTGAGCCTTTGACTCTCACCTTGCCCCCCTCAGCACGGCCAGCCCCTTGCGATGATTACTCTTAACATTTGCCTTCTGCAAAGCTGGAGGTTATTTCTTGGAAAGCTGTCAGCTCTCTCCTGCCGTGACTCAGGGATTTATTCCATAATTCTCATGGGCTCATGTTTTAATCATAAATCTTGCGTTGGAAGAATTAGGTCACCAGATTAGCTTAATAGGAAGCTTCAATCAGCAGCATATCAATTAAGGAGAAATGGTATTTTCAGAAGCAGATGTGGAACGATTAGGGAAGCGCCCCCAGTGCCCTGCTGCTCAGCACCGTGGTTTGGACAGTCTGTAGCATCCTGCTCTTCTCCCCACTGTCTGGGGAATTCAGTCAGTGATGGGATGGGTAAAGGTAAAGGTAAAGGTACCCCTGACCATTAGGTCCAGTCGCACACACTGCTCTATGGGCCGAGGGAGCCGGTGTTTGTCCGCAGACAGCTTCCGGGTCATGTGGCCAGCATGACTAAGCCGCTTCTGGCGAACCAGAGCAGCGCACGGAAACGCCGTTTACTTTCCCGCCGGAGCGGTACCTATTTATCTACTTGCACTTCGACGTGCTTTTGAACTGCTAGGTTGGCAGGAGCTGGGACCGAGCAACGGGAGCTCACCCTGTCGCAGGGATTCGAACTACTGACCTTCTGATCAGCAAGCCCTAGGCTCTGTTTAAAGCATATATTTAAAGCATGAGGATCGTGCAGATAACGCTAGCAATGGGAAACGGGAGGATGTGCTGGGATGCATATTGCATCCTGTGTACCGCAGTAGCATTTGATCCGAGAGACGACTTAATGGACACAGCTGTGTGGAGTGTGATATACATAGAATCATAGAATTGTAGAGTTGGAACAGACCCTAAGGATCATTCAGTCCAACCCCCTGCAGTGCAGGAATACGCAGCTGTCCTATATGGGGATTGAACCTACAACCTTGGCGTTATCAGCACCACGCTAATGAACTATCCGTGAGATGTATGTTGGGAAACAGAGTGGAAGCATATCAGATATCAGCCCCTGCAATTGATGGGCACTATGAGGATCCTATGCCGGGACGCGGGTGGCGCTGTGGGTTAAAGCCTCAGCGCCTAGGGCAGGGGTCTGCAACCTTTAAGACAAAAAGAGCCACTTGGACCCGTTTCCGAAGAAAAAAAACTGGGAGCCGCAAAACCGGGAAGGTGACGTCGGGACGGTGCGTGACTAACGCACGCACCGCCCCCATGCGACGTCAAAGCCAGTACAGCGCCCGCCACAGTGGGGAGTGTCGGGGCGCACAATGCGCCTCCTCCCCTCGCTAGTATCTGCCCCGGAGCGACAAAGGTGTAAAAGAGCCACATGTGGCTCCGGAGCCGCGGGTTGCAGACCCCTGGTCTAGGGCTTGCTGATCGAAAGGTCGGCGGTTCGAATCCCCGCGGCGGGGTGCGCTCCTGTCGTTCAGTCCCAGCGCCTGCCAACCTAGCAGTTCGAAAGCACCCCCGGGTGCAAGTAGATAAATAGGGACCGCTTACTAGCAGGAAGGTAAACGGCGTTTCCGTGTGCGGCTCTGGCTCGCCAGAGCAGCGATGTCACGCTGGCCACGTGACCCAGAAGTGTCTCCGGACAGCGCTGGCCCCCGGCCTCTTGAGTGAGATGGGCGCACAACCCTAGAGTCTGTCAAGACTGGCCCGTACGGGTAGGGGTACCTTTACCTTTATGAGGATCCTATATTGGCCAAACCTTGATATAAAGACTGGACTGAGCCTGGCCTTCTGACCTTCTCTGGCTTCCAGTGTATTATCTTCTGTTTCTCGTGGGTCAGGCATTTCCAAAAACTAGTCTTTGGAGTCCTGGTTTGGAAAGCAGGAAGCTCAGATCTGGATTTGTGTATGGCAATTCCCAACATGACCCAGATAGGTAATGGTTTTGTGTCGCCTTAATCCACGTGAGAGTGGAAGCCCAGGGCAGGCTGCCCACAGATCTCCAGTTACTGATACCTGTCGGTCGCCAGCCAAACGTTGGGAGGAACTTCAGAAACAGAGCACAATGGAAGCAGCCATCCTTTGTTCTCAGTAGCCCGTATCTAGCAATTAAGGGCTGGGGAGCAGGAGAAAGGAGAGGAAGAGAGACCAGGAAAATGGACGTCGCTCTCCTGGGTATCTTGGCCAGTAGCCACTGATGGACCTGGGGTGAAAAAAGCACGCAGCCCCACTTGAAGTAGATCCACCGTCAAAGAAGGCAGAGAGATCCAAACGCACAGGGGAACCAGTTCTGTGCCTCAAACGGCAATAGCAAATGTCGAAGCAAAGGCTGAAGTATTTTGGATTTGGGGACAGATTATTCGCACACAAGGAAAGGTGGGGCATGACCTTGGCAGCACTGTTCAAAAATGCTTTTATCCTCCTCTTCATTTGTTCCTGACACCATCTGTTGCTCAGAAGCTCTTTTCCCTTCCAAACTGTCCTCCAGTGCTCCCTGGTTGACCTTGCCGTCCCAATTCCCAGCTCTGCACTTGCCGTTCTTCGGCTTAGTGTATCATAAAGGGATTTTGGGGGAAAAATGATCCTCAATTGTTCCAATGGGTAGTGGCCTGAGGTCAACCGGCGTTGCCAATCCCTTTCTGAAAGGGGCAGCTCTGGGCTGGATTTCCGGCTTAGTGTGGGGGAAATAAATATGAAGTGCCGTCCGCCTCCTTAAATTGCTTCTGTAGCATTGTGCCACAAGGCTTTTCTGCTCATTGTTTTTAAAGCCGCTTGCACCTGACTGCATCTCTGTTCCCTTCCAACTGCTCTTCGTTCTCTTTTTTGGCCCACTGTCCTCTGTTACGAGCATTTTGTGGCCGGTGCAAGCATTATAGATATTTGGAGGCCTGGTGCCACCACAAGAGCTGTCTAGGCTTTCTGGGAACCTTGGTTATACTCAGTGGTTTCCTAGCTTCTTGTAGGTCCTTGGCTTGCCCAATTGATTTCAGGGATTGCTTACTGTTGGCTTGCCTCGCCTTATGCAATCAGCTGATTGGCTCTGGGAGCGTGCCTTCAAAGTCCATATGGAACAAGCAGTTTAGATCAGGCTTCCTCAACCTCGGCCCTCCATATGTTTTTGGCCTACAGCTCCCATGATCCCTAGCTAGCAGGACCAGTGGTCAGGGATGATGGGAACTGTAGTCTCAAAACAGATGGAGGGCCGAGGTTGAGGAAGCCTGGTTTAGATTCTGCCGAGGGGCGGGGCGAGCCACTCCATTCATTGGAAGCACATTGAATCCAAATTGATGGTTTGTTTGGAGCAAACGGTTTGGGAGAAGAGTCCCTCATAGGGAACACTCCCAGACAGCCTCTCCACGTGGGACTTCCCCGTCAGTGGCTGTTAGCTGACAAGGAGCCCTGATTTTGCTAAGCAACCATTAGGAGCTCAGTTGAGGCTCCCAATGGTTCCTTGGTTGCTGCATCCATTCACGTCCCACTCCTGATGTCACAAATTGGGACCTGTGTCAGACCTATACAGTCATACCTTGGGCTGAGCATTTTCGGGTTGCGCTCCGTGGCAACCCGGAAGTAACAAACACGTTACTTCCGGGTTTCATCGCTTGCGCATGCGCAGGCGCTCAAAATGACGTCATGCGCATGCACAGAAGCGGCGAATCACGACCCGCACACACGCAGATGCGGGTTGCGTTTGCTTCAGGATGCGAACGGGGCTCCGGAACGGATCCCGTTCGCATCCAGAGGTACCACTGTATAGGCCCATGGGCTAGAGATTCCCCCTGCTGCTCTTCAGGACTTATTTCAATTTCAAAAATTTATTCCCACCGCCACCAGCCTCGTGTGTTCCTTTGTTTTAGTGGTCAGGGTATGTCGGAAGCTGCAGCCTGCTTCCAAAGCATAGGAGATTTAGGAAGAAGGCAGGGACTCCAAACATTTCCCTAGTTTTAGTTGGTTATTCTGTGATTTGGAATCAGAGCTGTTGGTTCTTTCCTCCCTCTCACGACCTTACTGTTCGTTCCTTATGCTTCCTTCTGCAGGGATTGACAGCCGATACAACGAGGGCTGCCGGGAACTGGCAAACTACCTTCTCTTTGGCTTGTACAACCAGAGCAACAATGAATTTGAAAGATCGGGGTTTCCTGAAGAGGTCCTTGACGGTAAGGGAAAGTGGTGCTGTGTGCTATTTTAAGATGAACACTCAAGGGGCCAAATAAGGCTGGTCTTCTTTCACTTCTTTCCTAAAGCGTCTTTGTGGACGTTGATACAACCCTCCCTCTTCCACTTGGCTCCCACAGGTATTCCATTTTATTTAGTTAATGGTTTTTATTTGTAGCATTTCTGTGTTGCCCCTTAACCAAAGTTCTCTGGACAACATACATTAGAAATGGTTAAAATGTAATGGAGACAATTGAACACAGGCAGGCCTTAAAATAGAAAAAATATTATCAAGACACCAGAATCCATTCAGAAGCTCAAATATCACCCCAAAAAGCCTGGGAGCACTAACTTCCAGGCAGACTTGGGGCCACCAGTGCAAAAAACGAAATGCGGCTGCTCCGCCATGAACTTTTTGGGTGGCCTTGAGCAAAGAGCTCCCTTGGGTTGTTTCCTACATGCCTGCCTCCTCCACCTCCCTTGTAGGTGATTGTGCCAACCTGGATACTACATGTGATTTTTACACATGCCAGCACATACCCTTTGAACATCATAAAAGGAAAATATTGAGTGCAAAGTGGTCCTCTAACTCCCCTGCCTGTTCCGTATTTTGTCATTTAGAAGGGAGGGATCACAAGGACTTAAAACCCAAAGTCCCTGAGTTTGTTTTCCTTTACCCTCCCCATCTCTTTTTCCTTTTGTGTCATGTATTTCTAGTTACCATATGGAGGGGAGACACTATATTGTTTGTTAATGATCTTTCATAAATTGCTCTGGGAGCCCCATTAGCTGAAGAGCGAGTAAAAACGTATTAAATAAGTATGGACTTGTCTGAGTGTTGCATCGGGAGGACAAACAGGTTAGTGACTTGAAAATAACATTAGGTTGATTTCTTGCTCCTTTTAGATGTGATCCTACTAATAAAGCCAGACAGCGTCCATCTCTATTGCAACCCTGTCAACTACAACTACCTTTTGCCATATGTAGCATTCTGGAGAAACTTGCATTTCCACTGCCTGACTGAAAACGAGGTGAGTGGCCGAGTAGCAAACATAGAATGAACAGCATTTGTCTGAGGCCGTCCTGAGCTGCAACAATTCTGGCTTCCCACGGAGGCCTTTGGCGTTGCAGAAGGTCTCCTTATTCTGTGGAATTGATATGATCCAATGAGGCGCTGTTGCAGTGGTCAGACTCCCGACTCCCTTCTCTTTCGTGGAATTTAAATTAAAAATGGCTAAAAAATAAAAACGGAAGATTTGCCTGACTTGCAGCTTGATACTGTGCAAGTTCACATGGAGGTGCCACTGGGTTCAGAGGGGCTTACTCTTGAGTAAGCGTACACAGGATAGCAGCCGTGATCTCTGCTTCATATCACTATTACGTCAAGATGGTGACTTTGAAAAGGCATAGCGAACCCCTTTCTTGTTAGTTCTGGGTATAAGCTTCTTCAGATACGAAAGAACTAACTTGGTGCTTTTGGACAATTTTTTAATTTTTATCTATTTATTTCATCTGCGTCAGACCAACCCGGCTGCCTACCTGAACTGAACCCTTTCTTGTTGCTATTCCACGGTTCTTGCCATTTGGATCATTTTGTGAGAATACAGAAAGGGAAGAAAGAGACCAAATAATTGAGTCTGAGCCTTGATCTCATCTGGTGGTTATGCTTCAATTCTCAAGCTGGTCAACAGCTGGGGCACAGGACCAATGCATTCCATACATGTCAGCAGAACAATCCTTTCTTGCCTTGGTAGCTGCATCAAAACTCCATGGAGGGTGGCTAAAAACATCTCTTTCCTGTCAAAATAACCCCGGTGCAGCAGTTAAGTGAGCACTCTCAAACTCGGGCTTAAATACTTGCCTTTTGGCCAACACACCAGTAAGCCTTTGAGCTGCCAGACACACCCAGCTTCTAGGGCTCCGTGTGATCTGAAGTCCAACCCGCTCATTCGTCATTTGGGATTTGTAAAAGAACCTTTCTGGAATAAAACTACCCCAAAATGCCTTGGGTGTACGCACAGGGCTCCCCACTCTGCATGGCCCACAGGAGAGAATAAGGAAGCTTCTGCACATCTAGGAACTGGGGGGTTGCGACACCAGTTGATCTCCTTGGCAAGGACCTGGAGGCTTGCTGCAATTAGATTAAGTGAAGCACCTTTCACATAGTTCACAATGCTTTTGCCTTTGAAGCCTGGTGGTTCTGGACCGAAAACCATTACTTGGAGCCAGGCTCGTTATGTTCTAGCACCTGATGAAACCAAACAGCTCTCCAGGTCTGTTGGGATTTAAACGCCCACAGCCTTCAGGAGAGGCAGAATGGGCTCCCTCCTTTATCTGCATATATACTCTCTCGCTGTCTAGATTATCCAGCGCCTCCCTTAAAACTCAACAGTGCTGCTCGTTCTTTTGTCCTGTGATCTGGCTCTGCCGCTCAGAGAGTGAGAACAGAACATGATCTGCATAAGCGTGTTGTACGTTCTGCTCGCCTGAGCCAAGGGCACCCTGTGGTGTCTGTTCCCAGTACATTTCTGAGCACAGTTCAAAGCGTTGGTGTTGAGCCCCAAATGGCCTCAGCCCTGTATACCTGAATACCTGTATACCCCCGTCATCCAGCCTCGACATTGAGGTCCAACTCCAATGTTCCCTCGCTGCGAGAAGTGAGGTTACAGGGAAGCAGGCAGAGGGCCTTCTCAGTGGTGGCACCCGCCCTGTGGAATGCCCTCCCATCAGATACCAAGCAGATGAATATATAACAGTTTAGAAGACATCTGAAGACATCCCTGCATAGGGAAGGTTTTAATGTTGGAGGATTTATTATGTTTTTTTAAATATTTTGTTGGAAGCCACCCAGAGTGGCTGTTACAGTAACAAATGGTAAACAAAATCATTTTAAAAAATCACAAACCTGAAAAACAATTTAAGCAACACACTTTAAAACTCAGCTGCCATCTCAGTGTTTCTTCCTTCTACCAACCATACATTTTAATGTTCTGTAAAATAATTGGGTGGCATTCAGTGAAATTTTACTAACAGTGGACTCAGTGACTCGGTCATGTTCGTTAATTGCAGTGAGCGTACTCTGAGTAAAACTCAGCTGAATGCTACCCATTATTTATTGTAACGTAATAGTTGTAGTAGTAATGTAATGCAAGAGTTTTCTGTAGAGGGCTGTATTCTGTTGGTGGTTCTGTCTCCTGTTCCAGGAGAGAGATGCCGAGAGTCGATCTGTGAGCTCCTCTTTCCCACTGAAGTCTCATATGTTAATGATTTAGGTCACTTCCGTACCATGTATTCAACACACACTCTTATCACACTTGAACCATCATGGCTTCTCCCACGGAATTCTGGGAACCGTAGTTTTATTAAGGGTGCTACTTTGCTTTATTGGGACGCGGGTGGCGCTGTGGGTTAAAGCCTCAGCGCCTAGGACTTGCCGATCGAAAGGTCGGCGGTTCGAATCCCCGTGGCGGGGTGCGCTCCCGTTGTTCGGTCCCAGCGCCTGCCAACCTAGCAGTTCGAAAGCACCCCCGGGTGCAAGTAGATAAATAGGGACCACTTACCAGCGGGAAGGTAAACGGCGTTCCGTGTGCTGCGCTGGCTCGCCAGATGCAGCTTGTCACACTGGCCACGTGACCCGGAAGTGTCTGCGGACAGCGCTGGCTCCCGGCCTATAGAGTGAGATGAGCGCACAACCCTAGAGTCTGGCAAGACTGGCCCGTACGGGCAGGGGTACCTTTACCTTTACCTTTACTTTGCTTTAGGCTTTCCAAATTTGACAACGCCTTGAGAGTGAGCAGGACCCCTATCTGGTTGCTGGGCTTTGTTTTGCAAGCACTTTAGAAATTCCTGGTGCAATAATTACTGTGTTTTGCTTCTTGTAACTGGGTTTTCTCGTATGCCGCAAAATAGGCACCCATGTTGGGTTGAACCAGTCAGCTTTTTTGCAATACGAATGTTTCTGCTGTGCCTCTTCTCCCCCACTCAGCCCGGTGCTGCACCACATGGTTTTTTAAGTGGGCCGACTGGATAATGATGTACTAACCACAATGAAAACGAGTTCTTTCATGGAGCTTTGGCACCCGCGGAATAGAGACCCAGCATATGATAGGCATATGATTTAACCGAAGAGACTCCCAGTGTTCCCCTGGAAATAGCAAACAAGCTCTTTTTGCCTTTATCCTTTCTCTTTAAAACAACACCATTAACAGCCTCAGTAAAATAATTCATTTTATATGGCAGTAGGCAATGTTCACAAGGCAGTTTCTGAGCTTTTGAGTTGGGGTTGGAGGGAAGAAAACAGAAAAACATGGTTGTGCTTGAGAGAAGGTTCTTGAGCCGTGCCTACAGCTTGGTCTGTTTTCCAGTCTTGAGAAGGTGATAACAGAAGAAGCTTCTTTCAGATTTAACTGCAGCAGAATTAGTGCTCTGGACTGAGCTCATAAACTGACGTGCATTTTGCATATGGCTGCCATGGCTTTGAGTTGGTCTCTGCTGACTTCATGGAGAGCCAGTGCAGCACAGTGGTTAGAGTGTAGGACTAGGACCTGGGAGATCAGGGTTCAAATCCTCCCTTGGCCTTGAAGCTAGTGACCTTGGGCTAGTTGCTGCCTCTCAGCCTAACCTTACCTCACAGGGTTGTTGTGGAGATTAAATGAGGAAAGGAAGAACAATATACGCCACCCTGAACTCCTTGGAGAAGAAGGTGGGATTTAAATGCAATGAGTAATAATATTTGCCGTGAGCTTGCAGGCACCATGTTCACGATGGAACGTGGGTCAGCTTTTCCTTGCACACTGCTTGCTCTTGCTTCACTTTATACAGAGCCGTCCCCTGCTGGCTTCTGTGCTTGTTATCAGTGTGAACATGGCCTTTTCAGCCCAAAATGGCCGTGCTTAAAATACAGTGTGGATCGACTAAGGATGGCAACTGCTGTGAGCTGAGAGCGTTACAGGCAGAATAAGAAAGGCATTGCAACATGGGCATTGTTTTCCAAATCTTTGGGCAGTGGTTTGAGTATTGATTTGCTGGGTTTTCTTTCTCCTGGTCTGTTTCTTTTAGTACGAAGATGAAGAGGCTGCGGAGGAATTCAAAATTTCCAGCTTCGTAGACATGGTCCGTGACTGCAGCCGAATCGGGATTCCCTTCAGCTCACAAGGTAGGTTTGAAAAAGCCATGCGCACCTTGAACAGCAGTGCACAACATGCCAGCTCCACAGTTCTATGCTCCTATAATACTTTTAAGTCAGGGACAGGGAAAAATGAGTAGCTGGGGTCCATTATTTATATTAAACATGGTATGTGTGGTTCAACAAACTAAGCTCTCTGTGTGTGCCACATGAGGAGTTCTTCCATGTAACTCCTCCTTTATGTGGGGAAAGAATAGGCACCCTTTTTAGAACAGGAAACAAACCTTCCTGTTAATTATGTGAAGCTGGGATATAAAGCCAAAGTACAGTCTTGATTTTGTTTTACTGGAAATAACCAGCAAACATTCTGATGCAAGAAAGCTGCAACAAGCGTCTTGCTTGTAGTTCCATTAAAGAAAGAAAGAACTATGAACAGAGAGTATATTTATAGTTGCATCAACTGTGGGTTTCCCCAGCAACGGGCTTCCCCTGGTGACCATCCTAGCTATGGGGCTGAGCCACTGAGCCTGCTCCAATTCCTCGCTCCTGTTTTTCAAAACTAGGCATTCCACTGGTCTCAACAAAAGGCTTTTTGGCACCCTTGAGGGAAGACAGCTGCTTTTTGTAATGGTGCAGGGAGCATTTGAGCAAATGCCTGGAATACAGTTGTTATGCTGGATGTTGTTCGTTTTTCTTTTCAGTAGCGATTTTTTGTACAGTGATTTTCTCTCTCGATGACTCGTATGCCATACCAGTTGTCTCCTCTTTGTCCTGCACTGGACTTTGAGAAATACCTGTGAAGTTCATGGGAAATGTGCAGTTAAAAAAAAAAGTTACAGGAAAAAAAGTATTGGGAATCATCAACTTCAGGATTAAGCATCTTCTAGTTGAGTTGGCCTTAGACTGCAGACTTAAATTACTGAAGTTACATTGGCACACAGTGGTCTTTCAGACGGTGATGAAACCCAAGAGGCAAATGATGTCTGCTTTTCCAGGTTAAATAGAAGGGGAATGGAAACCTGGCTGCTGACTGGAACTGAGCTGGTCTCAACTAGCAAAGGCATCTCAGTCCAGAAGATGCACAAACTTAGCAATGCCTCCTTGCTGAGGACCTGGCAACGCAGTGCAGCTGCGTTCTGTGCAGATGTGTCACACTGTGTAGGAGAGGGTCTGTGTTTTAACTGGGGAGACTTCCAAGTGATTTTTAATATGGCAGCCATAAGGAAGAAACATGGAGTCATGCGTCAGCAGCAAAGAAACCAGAAAGGTAGTCCACAATAAACAATTGCTGCAGTATTCTAGATTTACAAGCGTTCTTTATTGGAAATGAAATATGCACGTAAGCAAAAATGAATAAATAAGCCCAAATCTTGTTTTCTGCCACAGCTGCTTTCTACTGAGTCAGAGTATAGTGGTCAATATAGCAAGGTATTGTCTACACCAGGGGTGGGGTGCTTGGCCAACCTTTCGGAAGCCATATTTGAGTGATGAGCAGGCCAGAGTGCTGCAGCAATGGGCGTGACTCTTCCTTTTCTACAACTGGCACCATTTTGACCACACACATCAGCGGGTTCCATACACAAACATCACCCTCTCTTCATCCTCCACCCAAGCAAACTAGATGCATGATGACAGTTGAAGGCTACATCCCAGGCAGGCATTTGAGGAGGGTGTGGGAGAGAAGGATGTTGACCAAGGGCTGGGCAGAAAGGCCTTGGAGTGTGTGATTGCTTTTGTCCCCCTCGGCCTGAGGTTCCCGGCCTTTGGCTTTCACTGACCAGCAGCAGCTCTTCATAGTCTTGGCTGAGGGTCCTTTGCAACCCCTTCATGGAGATACCAGGGATTGGAATTGAGATCTTCTGCGTGCAAAGCAGCTCCTCTGCCAGAGATCTAGGGTGCTTCTCCAAGGGTGGGGAATTATATTTTCTCCCTTTAAGGAGAACAGTGCCTAGTGGATTATTGCATTTACTTCCACATCCTCTTATAGGCATCCTGTGTGTCAGCTTCATGCTCTCCCACACACTCACATCCTAATCCCATGATCTTCTGAATATATTGATTCAGCAAAATGGAAAACGTTAGGGTTTTTTCCCATGTACAAATGCTTCTCCCTGTTGAAAGGTCGCATTTATTTGTTTTCATATTTAAAGTTCTTAACATGGTTGCATGGGGACCCTGTGGTGCAATGGGTCAGTGGGTCTGGCTGTTAACGGGGACAGCTCTGATTCTAGGAGTATGTCTTTGTTTACATTAATAATAATATTATAATAATTTTATTTATACCCCTCCCTCCCCAGCCAAGACAGGGCTCAGGGCGGCCAACACCAGACATAAAAACAATTGGTTAAAAGACAACTTAAAAAAACAAGATTAAAATACAACATTAAAATGCAGCCTCATTTCAGTAGAAACTCAAATCAAAAACTTTTTGGGGATGAAAACGTCAAATCGTCACTTAGGCCAACTATCCAGACTGGTCCTACATGGACCAGAAAAAAGCCAGGGAAGTCCCCAAATAGGAGTTCCATCACAGAAGGAGAAAGGAAAAGAGGGGAAGGGGATCAAGTTGATTCCATTAGAGCATAAGGCAGCCTAAAATCTTTATATATAACCAACAGAACCACACCAGCAAGGGAACCCTCTCTAGATAAGCAGAACCATTGCATTAATATACATGGACAGTACTGCAGTTGCATAACAAAAGCTGAGGAATTGCACACCCACCCAAATAAAATTGCTTTGTTTCTTCAGGACATCTGCAGATATTTGACATGTTCATTGTTGAAAAGTGGCCGATCGTGCAGGCCTTTGCCCTGGAAGGAATCGGTGGTGATGGCTTCTTCACAATGAAATATGAGGTAAGAGGCTGGAGGGAGGTTTCCTAGCTGAACAACAAGCCCATCACGAGTCCCCCTAAGCCAGGACTTTTCCCCCTGCTGTGATTCATTGGAGGCGCTGGAAAGACTGTGACCGGGGAAGAGTTAGTCCATCAACATTGTATTCCAGAGCACCCCAGACCTCTTCATTTTATTATGGAGTCCCTAGTTTCAGGCTCCACACTTCCACAGCATCTTCCTGTTCCTGTTTTAATGTATATATTATTTTGCTTTGTGTAAACCAAAAAGAAGTGCACAGGATAGGAATCTTGTGTTGCTATGTCTTGAGTGTGCCACCGTTCTCAGGAATGTCCACTGAACAATTTTTTCAACATCTATTTTGGAAACCCCTGTGTTATGCTTTCCTTTTACCAAACCAAGCAACTGAGAAAAACCCTAGTAAAAGAAATTAGCTTTTATTATTACTCTTCCAGATTGCAGAGTTACACTTTCATCTCTGTTGTGAGCTGTCGGGGCTGTTGTCTGCCGTGGCCCCAAAGGGAACATATCCGTGTAATAGTTATTTTCCAGAAACAGCCGGGTGCTGAGTGGCACAACGGCGCTTCACGTTCATGGCACTATTCACCAGCCATAATGGCATATTGTGAACGTTCCCAGCTGAATGGAGTCTCTGTGAATGGGGATTGTGTCATACGGGGCAACTTCTTTCCAAATAGAAAGGAAACCAAGTGCCTTCTCCTTAAGCATTTTGGTGACTGCTCTGTGTTCTTACTGCCCCTTTCATTGCTCCCTGCTTGGCCTTGGGGAGAACTGTAACGTTTGAGCTGCCTTCCCCAACCTGGCGCCCTCCAGATGTTTGGAACTATAATTCCCCGTTCCCAACCCAGCTGTTGAGGAAGGCAGTGTTTGAGAATAGAAGGCCTCGGTCCTGTATACCTGAAGGAGCGTCTCCACCCCCATCGTTCAGCCCGGACACTGAGGTCCAGCGCCGAGGGCCTTCTGGCGGTTCCCTCATTGCAAGAAGTGAGGTTACAGGGAACCAGACAGAGGGCCTTCTCGGTAGTGGCGCCCACCCTGTGGAATGCCCTCCCTTCAGATGTGAAAGAAATAAGCAGCTATCCTATCTTTAAAATACATCTGAAGGCAGCCCTGTTTAGGGAAGTTTTAAATATTTAATGCTGTACTGTTTTTAACATTTGATTGGGAGCCGCCTAGAGTGGCTGGGGAAACTCAGCCAGATGGGTGGGGTATAAATAATAAATTATTATTATTATTATTATTAAAAGCACGGAATGTGCAAGCCCCTTTCAGAACTCTTTCTCTTTGCAGCTGATGGATGTCAGCGTGGACCTGTGGAAAACTTACAGCAAGATCGATCCTGTTTCTCTGGAGAGTTTACTTTACGAGGTAATGTGCCAGACTTTTCTTCCCCTCCACCGCCACCCCCAAGGCAAATTTGACAGAGAATAAGCCCATGGTTTAGTTATTTAGATGTATGATTGCATGGGTGCTGGTATTCTGATGGTTCATCATGCTGTGGTGTATTTGGTTTCCCTTTTAACATGTTTAGAACTAAAACAGGGGTCTGCAACCCGCGGCTCCGGAGCCGCATGTGGCTCTTTTACACCTTTGCCACGGCTCCGGGGCGGATACTAGCGAGGGGAGGAGGCGCATTGTGCGCCCCGACATTCCCCACTGTGGCGGGCGCTGTACTGGCTGTGACATCGCATGGGGGCGGTGCGTGCATTAGTCACGCACCGCCCCGACATCACCTTCCCGCCCGTCCGCTACATTGTAAGGGGCATGTACGCTGGTCACTGCATTGAAAAGGGGCATGTACGCTAGTCACTGTTTTGAAGGGGAGTGAAGAACACACACCCAAAAAAGAGTAACTTGTTAATTTAACGTTTATTTCTATGAGGAGGAGTAATTCTGAGGGGTCAAACAAAGAAATAATAAAAAAGTGACAAAAAGTTATTTTTATAATGAAGAGTTTTGCGGCTCCCGGGTTTTTTTTTCTTCGGAAACGGGTCCAAGTGGCTCTTTTTGTCTTAAAGGTTGCAGACCCCTGAACTAAAATGACATTCCACAGGAAATGGCTTTTGTGTGGAAGCCTGGGGTGCCCTGGGACATGCTGTGTGAACTGACCCCACCCTACAGAGTTCCACAAAGTGCTAGCCAGGCCCACTGGGTATCAGTGTGAACTCAAGAGTACACACCACATCATACCTGGCACTCACCTGTTACACACATGGCTGGCCAAGATCAGTGGTAGTAGGCAAGCTCTCGCTTGCGGATGATCTTGGTAAGATGCCAAACTTCCATGGGTCTGAGAAATGCTGAGTCATTTCTGCATCCCATAAAATGGCGTTGGGTCATTTCAAATGTCATGAAAAACCATAGTCCCCCCCCCCCCAATGATTGCAGTGAGTTTGGAGCTTTGTGCTTCTCCCGTTCTGTTTCTTCACATCATTTATTAGCCTCGGTTTGGGGTTATTTCTGAACCAGTGTTCAAAGCTCCCATTGTTCTAGGCGCATTTTGCAACATGGAATTTCATTAGCGCGAGCAGTTTCTGAGCTCTGGGCGCAGTGCTCTGCCTAAGATTTCAGATTAAAACTGCAGAGTGGAAGGAAAGGAGGACCTTTTTCTGCTTCCCCACTTCCAGCCACTCTCTGAAGAATGGAGAAGAGACCCTCTGAAGAATATTAGAGGGGTGGGCAGGGGAAGGACTAGACCATGTGGGAAAACGAACATAGTATTTTAGCTGCATTTCATTCATTTTCAGCTTTGAATTCTTGTTATTCAAAAAGCGCGCCTGTACATTCCGTTGTTGTGCCCATAACCTCGGTTTAAGGTACCATTTAGCTCCTCGCTTTCATATCTCAGTTTCCTACACTGTTCGGAACCCCACACTGTGGTTTGTTGAAACAAGCCATCTTAGTACTACATGGTTTTAAATTGGCTTGTTTCATTTTTTTTAAAAAAAATAATATTTATTAATTTTTCAACAATTTAAACACAACACTACAGAAAACCAAAAAAACAATACAATACAATACAATACAAAAAACACTACAAAACACTGACACAAACAATTAACAAAACAAAACAAAAACCATTCAAAACACAATCCAATTTCAATATCTTATCTATCATTCACTTGTTTCCACGACCTCCTCACACCTCCCTTTTTGTCTTCCACTTCTATTAATTGTTTCAGCAATTCCTCTCCATCTTCCTCTGTTTTCTATCCTATAATTATCTTAACACATTCTAACCTTATTTTCCCCTTTAATACTCTATTAATCTATCTATACTTAACTCCTTATAACATTTCTACTAAAGCCATATAACTTCATTCCAACATTTTTCTTAAATTGGCTTGTTTCAAACGAGTTTGTCATGTTCAGATACAGAGGGGGAAAGCTTCTCATCTCATGACCGCATGGGAGGAAGAGTGGGGAGAGGAGGAGCAATTGAGCCTAAGGCCTCCCGTTATCTCATTCCCGTTAGGATCAATCGCGTTTTATTGCGATACCTGAATCGGCTCATTGTGTATGTACCCTGTGGCTTTGGCCTCATTACTCCCAGACACCATGGCAGAAGCCACTAGGAATGCCTTGTGTGCAGAACTTTTTGGAATGAATGAGATCCTGTGCAAAACCACAGAGGGAGACGCCACCAGTGATCTGTCTTCTTGCTTTCAAAGGCTGATTGTGTGACTAAGCCTTTCTGCCTCTCTCCCACTTGCCACAATGACCTTTGCATAAGCTCAGAGCATTCAGGGTGCGTATTGGAGCTGCATTGCTGTTTTTCCTCCTTCAGTTCCACGCATGCAATGATCCTTGCGCTTTTCTTAAAATGACTTCAGCGAACCCAGAGGCCTGCCTGAACCCTTTCGCCTTCTCATTCCGGTGTCTTAACAGTCTGGGCAGTTTTGCGTGTGAAAGAGTGGCTGTTCTTAAAGAGGGTTAGAAATCTTCTTCTTTGGCGATCACTCGTAGCCAAGTAAGATTGTCTTCCATAAACACGGTTTTAACAATGAGTCTATAAGTGCCTGTGGAGGCCAATTCTGGATCCACACGTCCTTCCACAGTGGGGAATGTAGGTTTCTGGGCGGGAGCTGATCACGGTGTGGATTTGCCAAGCGTGCCTTCCTTCTAGCAAGTTTCTCCCTTGCGTCCTGAGTTCGAGTGTCTTCAAAAGCCCATGACACCTTTGGTAAAGGCTGTTCTCCAATTGGAGCACTCGCAGGCCAGCGTTCTCCAGTTGTCGGTGTTTATACTACATTTTTTTAGATTTGTCTTGAGAGAGTCTTTAAACCTCTTTTGTTGACCCACCAGCATTACGCTTTCCATTTTTAAGTTCGGAATAGAGTAGTTGCTTTGGAAGACGATCATCAGGCATCCACACAACATGACCAGTCCAAGGAAGTTGCTTCAACACTGGGTTAAAAATGGACCTTGGCTGACACACAGTGGCCGTTGGTTGAGTTGCCTCCTCCTTTTTAAAGAACAAAAGCACTCTTTGCACAGAGCTGTGTGGGCATCTTTATAGGCGCACACATACCATTGCCATTCAAAATGCCACTGTGCAAAAGCCACAGGTGTGTTAGTCATAAGATACAGAGGTTCTCACACTGAAGCCCATAACGATTTTGCACAAACCCAAATGTACTTGAATTCTTTAAAAAACAAAAGCTACAGTTATTGGCCTTCCCAACCCTGTAGACTGCCCTGCCTTTTCATTTTTGCAAAGCCTTCATGTTCTTGCTGAACAGTGCTCTTCCTTTGAGCTTCCATCTGTTCATATATTTTATTTTATTTTAAATAGGAAGACGAGAGCCCCTTTCAGGAGGTCCTTTAGACCTAATCTGACTTGCTATCTTTTTTGTTTTGTTTGTTTGTTTTCCTATGTGGTGGTTTAGGGGAATCATAGAGTTGTAAGGGACCATTGAGGGTCATCTAGTCCAGCCCCCTGAAATGCAGGAATCTTAGCTAGATCATACATGACGTAATAGAATCCTAGAACTGTATAGTTCGAAGGTGAGGAATGTTGGTTTTCTCTTAAAGGGAAAATACTAGGTATAATATAAGGATGCCTAAGATCCAGGTTTGGGGCAAGTACTCTTTGCTAAGAGAACCCTAGTCAAGATTTAAAATTACAAAACATGCAGTGTGGAAATATAGGCTGTTAGACCTTTAAAATATCCCCATTTCAGTTCCTTCCAAAGTTTCCCCCTTCCCTTACTATAGAAAGTAGCCATATACCATATTTTTCGCTCTGTAAGACGCACCAGACCACAAGATGCACCTAGTTTTTGGAGGAGGAAAACAAGAAAAAAAATATTCTGAATCTCAGAAGCCAGAACAGCAAGAGGGATCGCTATGCTGTTCTGGCTTCTGGGATAGCTGCGCAGCCTGCATTCGCTCCATAAGACGCACACACATTTTCCCTTACTTTTTAGGAGGGAAAAAGTGAGTCTTATAGAGCAAAAAATGCGGTATATGGTAAGTTATAAAAGGTTTACTTACAAATTCTTCAAAGGTCATATTCTTGTGCTTTCCCATACATCAGTTACAAGACATAGGCAGTAAAACTTACGTTCGAAATTGGTGAAAGTTTCTAAATTATTTGTATGGAAACACTACCCCCTGCTCTGTTTAATTGGATTTTTGTATGCCGCAGACTCAGTCACAGATGCAAAGTAAGCTCCTTTAACGAACTGACGGCTGATGTGTTTCTCTCCTCAGGATTTGATGACTTTCGAACATCAGTGGACCAATTTCTTTGCCAATTTTGACACTGAAATCCCTTCTATCCTGGAGCTGTCAGAGTCACAGGCAGGAGAGGTATGTATCTCGTTACATGAAAGGGGAAACTCTTTTTTCAGAAACCCATTTTTTGGGGGGAGGAGGGGTGCCTTTTTGCCATTGCGACGCTTCAACAATTGAGACAAAGAAATCCTTGCTGAATTACAGCAAGTCACCCAGAGATCTACCAGTGGATTGTAGGTCTAACCATCTGCCCACCCCCAAATTATAGCGCACTCATAGTATTTAACAAGTCTTGGTAGGGAAGGGATTTAGCTATCATGCATCACTGGGAAGGGAATCATTTAAGGGAGTTACTATGTGGCCCTGCCTCTAAATCTTACAAGTTCCATTGATTGCAGCTAAAGTTTTTGATCTCTAATTTGAAAAAAAACATACACTAAAATCCAAACTATGTGAAAAAATGGGGGGGGGCGTTGTTTAAAAAATCACATTTGCTAAAATAACATGGGCAAGAACAATATGCCTCTCTTATGCAAGGGTTAGCAAACTTTTTCAGCAGGGGGCCGGTCCACTGTCCCTCAGACCTTGTGGGGGGCCGGACTATATTTTTGTTGGGGGGGGGGGAGGAATGAATTCCTCTGCCCCACAAATAATCCAGAGATGCATTTTAGATAAAAACACACGTTCTACTCATGTAAAAACACCAGGCAGGCCCCACAAATAACCCAGAGATGCATTTTAAATAAAAGGACACATTCTACCCATGTAAAAACATGCTGATTCCTGGACCGTCCACAGGCTGGATTGAGAAGGCGATTGGGCCGCATCTGGCCCCCGGGCCTTAGGTTGCCTACCCACGCTTTTAAGCATCCAAGGCGTCACTGGTGCCTTGTGAACACATTAATGCTTGTCTGGGGTGTGTGTGTGGAATTAACCAGCTGGTGTACATAAGGTCATGGCTAAAGTAGCACAGCAGTTGATTGAGAGACTATAAATTTATTCTCACAATGAGCAAACTTTCATCCGGGATCCAAATGAAAGTACATTTTTAGGTATAGAGAGGTGTAAAACCCTTGTACATTAATCAGTTGGCTGACAAGTTATGAACCAGGCAGTAAATTACCTAAAGTTTACTCCAGCATTCGCCATAATGTTTCTGCCACTAATTATGTGCATGAGATTGTCATTATATTTTGGGTGGTGTAAATGCCATGAACGTTCATTGAATAAGAAAGGGGAGAAATAAATTTCAAGAAATTATATGCCCTTTGCACAGTCTGAAATAGTTTGTAATGCACCACTACACATTTCTGTTGTTGCTTGAATGTGTCAATTATTTCTAATATTCAATACCTTTTCTTCCATAGCCATTCCGAAGTTACTTCAGCCATGGGATGATTTCCAGCCATATCACGGACAACAGGTACTCTAACTGACAGGTTCTTGAGCAAATGCAGTACAGCATAATGCATTTCATAAAAGCACAGCATGTAAAAGAGTGTTTGCATCTCTAAAACCCAAAGCACTCTGCTATAACTGTGATTATGTATTTTCCCCATTAAGCTGTTGACAGTCATCTTAGTTTCGACAATAGCCAAAGCCAGAGTATCCATTAGCTTGTCGGGGAGTCTTTTATTTATGTGGCTTATCTTTCTAGCTGGCAAACATTCCGGAGTATAACTGCTGATACAACCAACATACCTAGTCAATTGCTTCTGCAAATAAGCCTCTACTATAGGAACTTAGGTATGCATACCTGACTTCCAGCAGCTCTCTAAGTTCTTTCCCCCAGTCATAAGAATCATAGAATTGTAGAGTTGGGACCCAAGGGGTCATCTAGTCCAACCCCCTGCAGTGCAGGAGAAGTCAAATCCAGCTCAGGATCATCTGCTCTAACTGTTAGCCATGCCCCAGAATTTCAGACAAGGGGTCTCTCCTGACCCTGCCTGGAGAAGCCCTATGGCCCTTCCCCAAATAGCAGGTGATATGAAAAAACTGAGGTTTTCCATATCGTTTGCAACCTGAATCTTTTAACTGGAGATCCCCGAGTTTGAATCTGGCAGCTTCTTTCATGCAAAGGAAATGCTCTACCACAAGCTATGCACTCTCCCTTGTTTGAGCTGTGTGTACTTTGGACTTAATAAAAAAAAAAACTCTGGTAAACTCTGCACCAGGAAAAGCTGATTCCTGAAACTGGAATAAATGGTGCAAGTGAAGCATTTCATCATTTTCCAAGTGTGAGTTGGTGGTGATGGCTATTTTTGTGCGTGTGTTTAGCCCCAGCAGGCAGCCATTTGTCCTGTTTGGCACCCATTCCTCAAAAGAGAACCTGAACTCGGGCAACTTCAATTTCCCATCTGAGGGGCACCTTCTTCGCAACACGGGTCTTGGCGGAAGCACTGCCAAGCACATGGTAAGCATCACCTGGTGAGGGTTTGATAGGCACCTGCTAAAATAGCCCTGCAGTATTGCTGTCTGTCAACAGTTCTTCAACCCAAGAGCTACGGGATCTTCCAGACTGGTGGGTAAAGGTAAAGGTACCCCTGCCCGTACGGGCCAGTCTTGACAGACTCTGGGGTTGTGCGCCCATCTTACTCAAGAGGCCGGGGGCCAGCGCTGTCCGGAGACACTTCCGGGTCACGTGGCCAGCGTGAGAAGCTGCATCTGCCGAGCCAGAGCCGCACACAGAAACCCCGTTTACCTTCCCGCTAGAAAGCGGTCCCTATTTATCTACTTGCACCCGGGGGTGCTTTCGAACTGCTAGGTTGGCAGGCGCTGGGACCGAGCAACGGGAGCGCACCCCGCCACGGGGATTCGAACTGCCGACCTTTCGATCGGCAAGCCCTAGGCGCTGAGGCTTTTACCCACAGCGCCACCCGCGTCCCTTTACATGCAGATATATTCTGCAATGTACCATTGGCATAAGGGACACGGGTGGTGCTGTGGGTTAAACCACTGAGCCTAGGGCTTGCCGATCAGAAGGTCGGCAGTTCGAATCCCCGCGACAGGGTGAGCTCCCGTTGCCCAGTCCCTGCTCCTGCCAACCTAGCAGTTTGAAAGCACGCCAGTACAAGTAGATAAATAGGTACCACTCCTGCAGGAAGGTAAACAGCGTTTCCGTGCGCTGCTCTAGTTCGCCAGAAGCGGCTTAGTCATGCTGGCCACATGACCCGGAAGCTGTACGCCGGCTCCCTTGGCCTGTAAAGCATGATGAGCGCTGCAACCCCAGAGTCGTCCGCAACTGGACCAAATGGTCAGGGGTCCCTTTACCTTTACCTTACCTTTGGTACAACAGTGAATCAGCGGAGGATTTGTACAGGGCTGTCCACACATCCTCCCGCATCATTCATTGTTCTGTGACGCTTCCCCAGTTTCACTGCATCATTGCCAATGAGAGGGCAGCTCTGGCACTGGAGCACGACAAAAGTGGAACATTTGCGGTATGATAAGTTAACAGAATTGCAGCAGGAAGTTTTGGGGTGTGCGGTGATGAAGCAGTACGACCACCTTGAGACCTTTGCAGGCACGAACAGTATCACAAGAGGGGTTGGTGTGTCCCTGAGATCCTTTTGAAGTGGCAACAGGCCCTAAATGGCAAACACGGGCCTTGCATAACACCGGTCTTGAAAGACCTACATTGGCTCCCAGTACGTTTCTGAGCACAATTCAAAGTGTTGGTGCTGACCTTTAAAGCCCTAAACAGCCTCAAAGGCCTGAAGGAGCGTCTCCACCCCCATCGTTCTGCCCGGACACTGAGGTCCAGCTCTGAGGGCCTTCTGGCGGTTCCCTCACTGTGAGAAGCAAAGCTACAGGGAACCAGGCAGAGGGCCTTCTCAGTGGTGGCACCCGCCCTGTTGAACACCCTCCCATCAGATGTCAAAGAGATAAACAACTACCTGACATTTAGAAAACATCTGAAGGGCAGCCCTGCTCAGGGAAGTTTTTAATGTATGACATTTTGATGTATTTTTCATCTTTGTTGGAAGCCACCCAGAGTGGCTGGGGAAACCCAGCCAGGTGGGCGGGGTACAAATAAATTGTTGTTGTTGTTGTTGTCATTGCATTGGAGCTTGGATCCTCACCCTTTAGGGAGCAGTTACTTACAGTTCAATCACTGTTCATAGCAATTTTTGGGCACAGGGCATATAGCCCCCTTTCTTTTCCTGATGCCCTGCAGAAGTTGTTGGGCTCCAACTCTGATCATTCATGCTTTCTGGGGCTGGTGGGAGTTGTGCTTCAGATGCCGAACTGCGTCAGGTTAGGGAAGGCTAGGGTATGCAGTACCCTTATTTCTTGTCACCCACCTGTGCGTTTTGTGTTTGTTGGCGACCAGGTTGTGCAGTGTGTTTCTCCAAAGGGACCTCTGGCTTGCTCCAGGACCTACTTCTTTGGAGCCACTCACACGCCTTACCTTGGTAAGTTCATTTTCGGCTGCTCTTTCTGTGCGTGCCTCAGCGTGTCTGTCCTTGTCCGTACACACACACCCTGCTAGCCTTTGTAATTCCTGGGACTTGGGGTGGGTTTCAGTCCATACAAACGCACACACACATTTCCAAATTAAAATAAGAATAAATGGGTTGAAACACGAATGGAAGAGAACAGATAAAATTTAAGGACCTAGTTATTATAAGAGGATAAGTCATCCTTCCTCTATTTGGTGCGCTCTGGATGTGTTAAGTATTCTATATGATTTATGTTCCGTTTTTGATGTCCTATTGCATTATCGTTATTTATTGTTTGCAATTCATGTGAATGAAAAGCAGCACATAAATCTAAGAAATCAAAAATGACACTTCCCTTTGGCTCATAACAGGCAATGACAATGAGATGGAAAAGAAAGCCGAACAAGTGTAAGTTGGTTTTTAGTTTTTTCCATTTATGCTGCTCTCTTGCCTGTTTCATGCGTTATTGGCTCGTCAGTTTAATACAGTTAGAACGTGCACCAATTTCTGTTGCTCGTGGTGCATCAACAAAGCCTTTTCGGCTTTTTTCACTTTCCTAGCCAGTGGGTATGTTCCACAACTAACATTCTGGTGCTTCTAGCTTTCAGTGTGACTCCGTTCAGCTACTTCATGATCTAAACTCTTATCACTGCTGTAAACAGTTATTTTAATCCTTCGTGAAACTTACGTATGTGTCCCTGTTGTATTTAAAGTATTCAGCTTTGCGTTAGGTTAGGAGCCTGTGTCTCAGTTTAGATACCCATTGAGTGTCGTAATTTGTACTCCATTTCCTTTTTCCTTTTTATTTTCTAGCAAGCTGCTCTCTCAAATCTATGCCGCTGCCGTAGAGGCTGTCCTGGCTGGTATAGACTCCTATTCAAGAACATCCAATACCAGCAAGGTACTGATGCTTCTTCCTATACCGGAAACTGACCCTTCCCCCTTTCCTCTAACTTCCTCCAGAGGTTTTTAGAGAGGTTGTTGGGCATGCTGGAGGCAGCGCTTCAACAACCTTGGAATAAGTTTGGAAGAAAGGATGCTTGCTTTTCCACTGCCTGGTAAGAAGTGGTGGGAGAATGAGACCCTTTTTCTTTCTGGTGAGTGAAAGAAAAAAGACACTCATGACCCCAGTCACCGCAGAGTGGATAAGGGGAAATCGGAAGTAGTATGGCAGGGCCTGCTTCTCAAGGCCCCCTAAACCCCAGCGGCAACATTGGGGCTAGTTATCCTTTGTTTTCCTTGCTCTCAAATAGCTGCATTGTGTGACTTTTTCATATCCCCCCCCCTTTATTATCTATTATTTGTGGTGATTAGCTGTTAATGCATGTGCTGCATTATACCAAAACAGGCACCTTAAATTTTTTTTTTTTAAGGTGTAAGGTGGGCATGTGGACCTGTTTGAAAGTCCTCTGGGCCTTGGATCCCAAGGAACGCTCCTCTTTCCCACTGCTTCTCACAACTTCTTGATCAGAGATGGTTTGACGTCGCTTTCTCTGCCTCCCCTCTTTGTCTTTTGCAGGCAAAGGAAGTAGCCGAGCAAACGTTCTTCAGTATTCTCGATGCCTTTGAACTGGCTTACTTTAAAACTCCATTGCGGTAAGCGGAATTTTCTTGAGATTAATTAATTAATTTTTTTTGAAAAAAGCAAAAGGCGTTTCTCATTGTCTGGGGGCACCAGGGCAGATGCTGCCCCTAGGTCTGCTTGTTGAAAGGCATGGAGAGGCTGCAGACTGCGCGACTGAGAGGGTGTCTTGTCTGAGGCAACAGCTGGCGCTGCCTGCTCCACCTCCAAGCTATACCCCCGGGTATAGGTAAAGGTAAAGGGACCCCTGACCATTAGGTCCAGTCGTGGACGACTCTGGGGTTGCAGCGCTCATCTCGCTTTACTGGCCGAGGGAGCAGGCATACAGCTTCCAGGTCATGTGGCCGGCATGACTAAGCCGAGGTTCTGCACGAGGTTCATCGCCTCCCAGGAACCTAAGAAGAGCTCTGAAAAATGAGGCCAAGGGTTAATCTAGATCAGAGGTAGGGAATCTCATGCCCAGGAGCCAAATGCAGTCCTGTCTGGCCCTCAGAAATCTCTCCACGCCACACTCCCATCTTCTCAGGCTGCACCCTTCACTGGCCTTGTTTTACACCCTCCTTGAATGTTTCTGATGGGCTGGGATGTGCCCTTGAACCCCGAGATGCCACTTGCTTCTCTGGATGGGGGATAAGGAAGAGGGTGTGCAGGTGGGAGCACAAAATCTAGCCTAAAGGTAAAGGTAAAGGGATCCCTGACCATTAGGTCCAGTTGTGGACGACTCTGGGGTTGCAGTGCTCATCTCGCTTTCCTGGCCAAGGGAGCCGGCGTACAGCTTCCGGGTCATGTGGCCAGCATGACTAAGCCACTTCTGGCGAACCAGAGCAGCGCATGGAAACGCTGTTTACCTTCCTGCTGGAGCGGTACCTATTTATCTACTTGCACTTTGACGTGCTTTCGAACTGCTAGGTTGGCAGGAGTTGGGACTGAGCAACGGAAGCTCACCCCGTCACGTTGGATTTGAACCACCGACCTTCTGATCGGCAGGCCCTAGGCTCTGTGGTTTAACCCACAGCGCCACCCGCGTCCCATACCCCCGGGTATAGGGCGATTAATAATAAATAAATAAATAAATAAATAAATAAATAAATAAATAAATAAATAAATAAATAAATATAAAAACCACTTCAGAGGTGGCTTTGGTGATCCTGCTCTTTGCTGGCCTTGGGTGGGCAAAGAGTTGGGGGGGCATGTAGCAAACTGCCCTGTGATTCTCAGATGAAGGGTGGTAAAAAAACTTATTAAATAGCAACAATAAATAAGCTTTGGGAAATATTTGCATTCACAAAAATCAGCCTTGTTTCTTTATTTCATAAGGTAGGCACACTTGATTTGTACACGCTTGCAAACCACCTTGAGGTGTGTGTTTTTTTACAAACAGAACAAAACGATAAAATTCTCAGTAAAAACAGTTAAGAACGACCATTGGAAGCACTCTGCAGAAGGTCAGCAATGAACTAGAAATAGATTAAAGCACATATCAACACTCTGAGCCTCGGGTAGGCTTGTCTAAACGAAACTGTTTTTCTCAGTTCTCAGAGTATCTTTTAAATCTGGGTGTTCGTAAGATATGGATGTATTCCTATTATAAGACGAGAAGTAGCCTTTAAAAAATATTTAAACTGCTTTGAGTTTATATGGTGCTGTATTCAACAGACGCCTGTGTTTACAAGAAGAGTATGCCACACAATCCTATTATAATTATAAGCATGCATTTCGCAGGAGTAAATATGTAGCTGGAACTTTTGGGGAAGGTTTTGGTGGAATCTGGAGCAGAGACGTGTGGTGCCCTTAGGAGGGCAGTTTCACAAGCCTGGCAGTGTGTAAAATGCGGTTTGCCCTTCAAGCTGCACCAATGTCATTCGTTTGAGTATAAGCCTTTGTAAAAAAAAATGATATTCTCTTGATTTCCCCGCTTTTCTCCTTTACAGCACCAGAACAAATTTTCAGATTCAAGCTGTGAACAACCATGGAAGGTCAGTTCCTTTATGCTTCACTTTCAGAAGGCTGCGTGTCTTTTTGAACCGACAGCTTAATAGAGAACAGAGTTTGCCTTTAGTCTAACCAAGCGAAGCAGAACAAATAAAGCACTTGGTGCCGTGATACCTGTGGTTGCCAGATGAATAGCGTGGGTATTCTTCAAACCACTTAGTCATCTAGAAATAAGACAATGGGAAAATGGAAGCTTGCATAGAAATATCCTTGCTTCGTGGCTTCAGTCTTGACTGAATGTTCACACCTTTAGATCATAGTCATATTATAGTGGTTTAAATGTGCCGTCTACAATTTCTGGAGGACTTGGGCTGGGTCACAGTGTAACATGAATGGCTGCATTCAATCAATCAATCAATCAATCAATCAATCATATCTTGGTTGAGTCTCTTGCACACGTCTGCAGCTCCTTTGCTTTCCCCCCATAAACTGCAGTTAATTCAGGAAGTTCCTAATGAACCATGGTTTCCTATTTCACCTGCTTTGAAGCAAGCCAGCATGCTAAACCAAAAATCAAACGGGTTCAATATCCTGTTTTGTTCTGTAGATGATAACCATTGCTTCCCAGTTCTGGTGAAGCAGGAACCAGGTTAATTGGAGGCTTTCTTAACTGATTTGCAGCATGTCTGAAGGGAGAAGCAAAGCGCCTCTGCGCTCGAACAAAATGTCCCTACATTCCTTGGCTTAATCATGGTCTGAACTGGGCAAATATGTATTTACCTGCAGCATTTCATCTTCAGCATTAAAACGTTTGTAAAAATATATCGGGGGAAACGGCCAAAAACAACTTCTTTTATTTATTTTTATTTGATAAAATAGATATACTGCTTGATTGTAAAAGCAAACAAACCTCAAAACAATTTACATTACGTTTGTTAATATGGAGTTGAGCAGCAGAATATTAAATTGTCTCAAAGGGCTCCATAAACAGCAAAAAGGTGAGCAGTGATTGAGCCCGGTGGGCCTTCCTTGGGTCATGTAAGATTTTGAACTCTGTGCTTGATGATTTACTGCTGGAGCCTCTAGGCCAGCCTTTCTCAACCTGTGGGTCCCCGGATGTTGTTGAACTACAACTCCCATCACCCCTAGCTAGCAAGGCCAGAGCTCAGGGATGATGGTAGTCCAACAATATCTGGGGACCCACAGGTTGAGAACCGCTGCTCTAGGGCCAGTTCTGACTGCATATGATGCTACTCAGACGTCTCTGGGAACACACTCGGCAGATACAATTCATTCTGCTGCTGCTTCTTAGTAATGTCCAGAGAGGTCTACAAACGGTAGCTCTTTTTTAAGCTCCTGCAATCATGAAATCGCTCCCAAGGGGCAGCAGTACTTAGACATGGACAGAGGCTGGCTCAGGTGATCCTATGACTCCATTCTCTGAATGTATTTTTTAAAATGTTCCTCATTTGCCGGCAACTCCTCCAGCCAACTGGCGCCAAACATATTGCTCTGCTTTCCTTTGGACCACATCAGTGAGGCCGAGAGAGAGAGGGGTCTTGTTGTCTGAGCCACTCAGGACCTCCATCCACACTGCCCAGGCTCATGCTCCAGATTGGTCACTTTGTGCTGCTAATGCAGTGGTTTCGCTTCACCTCGGAAGGCACACTCCATTGCCTCTCAAGACAGACGGATGCCAGCAACAAAAAATTGCCTTGTTGGTTTTCTCGATTTTTGCTGGTAGGGCAGTTTCAAGCTGCAACGGAAGTTTTGTAACAGTGTGTTTATCCTTCCAGAATTATTCCGCTGGATAATGAGGACAGCCTCTACTTAGTGAAAACAGTGAGTCGAATTTAAAGTTTGCTGCTTCCTAGATGTTCATGTCCTTTTACCAAAATGCCTTGAGAGGTATTGGCAAGTTCAGGAAGGCTCAGGAGATCCTCCGGCCTCCTGCCTGAGCCACATTGTGCACAGGGGCTTATACCTGGCAGAGGTGCAGAGGAGATGCTATGTACCCCAAGGAGCCTCAAGGCTGGGAGCCAAAGGCAGCCCCCCAGGCTTCTCTCTCGGTCCCTCGGGACCCCCCCCCTCCAAGCCACATCCTTCACTGGCCTTGCTTCCACCCTAGTTCTTGCCTAGTGGGAATGTGTCTCTTAATACTTGCCTGCATGGAGGACATAGAGCTAGGTGAGTCTGCAGAAACCACATAGTCACACAAGAAGAGGCGGCAGGATCAGGCCAGTGTTTCATCTGGTCCCACGTCCTGTTCTCACGGTGGCCAATGGGAAGCCCAAGGTCTGAGTGCAAGAGCAGTCTCGCCTCCTGGGCTTTCCAGCAACTGTTACTGCTTCTGACAGTGCAGGTAAAGGTAAAGGGACCCCTGACCATTAGGTCCAGTCGTGACCGACTCTGGGGTTGCAGCGCTCATCTCACTTTATTGGCCGAGGGAGCCGGTGTACAGCTTCCGGGTCATGTGGCCAGCATGACTAAGCCGCTTCTGGCGAACCAGAGCAGCGCACGGAAACGCCGTTTACCTTCCCACTGGAGTGGTACCTGTTTATCTACTTGCACTTTGATGTGCTCGAACTGCTAGGTTGGCAGGAGCAGGGACTGAGCAACAGGAGCTCACCCTGTCGCGGGGATTCAAACCGCCGACCTTCTGACTGGCAAGTCCTAAGCTCTGTGGTTTAACCCACAGCGCCACCCGCGTCCCTCTAGTGGAGGTAGAATATAGGTATAGAATATAGACAGTGCAGGTAGAATATAGCTATTCTGGCTAGTAGCTGCTTAACCTCCATGAATTTGTCTAATTTTTTGGAGCTATCCAAGTTGGTAGCCTTCACTGCCTCCAGACTAGCCTACAGTACCAAGATAAAATTAACATTAATTGCTTTTCCCACTTATGCCTTTGGCCTCACCACTGACATGTGGCCCTCAGAAGGTTGTTTTTGGAAGGGAATCTGGCCCCTGGGCTGAAAAAGTTCCCCACCCAGCTGTTCCATAGAATTCCTTCAGTCACAAAAATGTGAACTCTGTTTTAGCTGGGGACTGTGATGGATAAAAGTGGGAGTATTGACCCAAGCTCTTTTTGCTCCTCCTTCTCTCCCCACCCGCTCCCTTGGTTTGCTGCAGGTGTCCATGACAGTATATGACATTCCTGACTTGCTTGGCGGAAGGGGTTGCCTTGGGTCGGTGATCTTCTCAGAATCATTCCTGGCGTCACAAATTCTTGTGAAAGAAAAAGGTATTTTGCCGCCCAAGAAAACCTGCAGTGGGAAAAGCTCTTTCAAATGCAATGTCGAATTACGTTGCGTGTGGAATGGCTTGGTTCACGCATAACACCAAGCCAGCTTGGACACTGTGTGATCAAACTTTGGGCTTGCAGACTCCTCCTACCCCCTATTATTTTCCTCTTGCGTACTTGTATTCCCTCTCTTTCACAATAAACTACGGCTTGCTTTTACACCTATAGTTTGACCGTCCTGGTATAGATGGCTAGCACAAACTACAGGTTGCCTGTTTGGGTGTAACAGCAACCTATAGTTTGCCAGAAGAGAGTGGACATGGGAGGGCAGATTAAGCAGAATGGGCATCACATGACCCCCAAGGCTCTTCCATTCATTGGCTGATGGCTTAGTATTTCATGCAAACCAACCCAATGAGTAAATGCTAAATTCTTATCAAGCACACACTAGCAAATGGCTCAGCTTCACTGTGAAGTCTGCATATTCTTGATCTGGGGAGGCATTCCCGGCCCCATTTGCCTTCACAAGCCTGTCCACACCAAGCTAGTTTCTCAAACTTATCATGGCACGAAGCTAGAGCACGTGATAAATTATTTCACCTTTAGGAACCTTCCACTTACGGGTACATGGGCCACGAGGGAAGAGTCATAGTGGTAGGACATCTGCCTTGCATGCAAAAAGCCCCAGTTCAGTTCCCAGCATCTCCAGCTATGACTGGGGGAGACTCCTTGTTTGAAATCGTTCTGCAGTCATTGCACACCAGCCTTTCCCAGCCTGGCTCTCTCCAGATGTTTTGGACCACGAATCGGCCCCAGCCAGCATCACAAAACATCTGGAGAATGTCAGGTTGGTGAAGGCTGGTGCAGACAGTACTGAGCTGAACTGATTGTTGATCTGATCACATCCTATGCTCCCAGTGGACATAACATCTCCGTCTTGGCAACCTCTCTGATTTGCAGAGTTCGCTGGGGGGCAACATCTACAAACTGTCCCCTTCCTGTTAGGGTCAAACCTCGGTTGTCGAATGCAATCCGTTCTGGAAGACCGTTCGACTTCCAAAACATTTGGCAACCGAGGCGCAGCTTCCGATTGGTTGCAAGAGTTTCCTGCACTCAAGCAGAAACTGTGTCAGATGTTCAGGTTCCGAAAAACATTCGTAAACCGGAGCATTTACTTCCGGGTTTTTGGCGTTTGGGAGCCAAAACGTTTGAAAGCGGAGCCGTTTGAGAACTGGGGTTTGACTGTACATGTCTCAGGAAATGAATCCCTCCAATGAAACAGCCCCATGGAGCCACAGGCATGCAGGATGTTAAATCTCCACAAGCTCAGGAGCTACACTACTTACGCTTTTCTTTGCTTTCCTGCAGATGGCAGCATTAGCACAGAAACCAGCTATGTCATTCTCACTGCAGCTATCCCAAGATCTGTTTCTTGGCTGGTAGGTATGACTTCATTCCCTTAACCCCCCCCCCTTTTTTTTCCCTTTTAGTGATATCATTACGGAACATTTTCTTACGAATGTGCCGAAAGCAAGGAAAACTACTCTGCTGAGCTTGTTCCAAGTGCAACTGTGAAATTGTGCTTGAAATGGATTCTGTACTTGGCGATCTTAGTCAATGATACTGGGAAGTGGAAAGCTGATTAAATAGGACCGAGGACCGAATAGTGTTAACTTTTCCTTCGTGCAAATTCAGCCAAAGTGCTTTTGTCCAGTAGGAAATGAAAAGTAGAGGGGATTCCAAGATAGGAGGAGACTTTGGCATGAAGTGTGAGAATTGCACAAATGAAGAGACGCTCTGTGGTGTGGCACATAGAGAGATGGACTAGGACAGGCGTAGGCAAACTCTGCCCTCCAGATGTTTTGGGACTACAATTCCTATCATCCCTGACCACTGGTCCTGGTAGCTAGGGAGCATGGGAGTTGTAGTCCCAAAACATCTAGAGGGCTGAGTTTGCCTATGCCTGGACTAGGACCCAGGAGAGACTCAGCCTTGAGAATCACAAGGTATCAACACTTTGGAGGTCCCGTGCCTCAAGGAGGTTAGATTGGTCTCAACTAGGGCCAGGGCCTTTTCAGCACTGGCCTCAACGTGGTAGAATGCTCTGTCACAAGAGACTAGGGCCCTGCGGGACTTGACATCTTTCCACAGGGCCTGCAAGACGGAGCTGTTCTGCCAGGCCTTTGGTTTGGACTCAGTCTGACCCAAACTCTTATGTTTCCCTCCCCTTATGGTCTTGATTTATCGGCTACTTTAAAATGGGACTGCATTTTAAATTGCATTTAAACCTGTATTTTAAATTGGTTCCCTCCCCCTTTCCCCCCTATTATGTTTTTACTGTGATTTTATTGGTGTTAGCCGCCCTGAGCTCTGGCCAGGGAGGGCGGGGTATAAATAAAATTTATTATTAAGGTTACCTTCGCCCAGTCACTGTCTTTCAGCTTAAGCCCGACACCTGAGTAAAACTGTCATATGGTATTGTGGCTGAAGACCATTTTATGCTTGCTCCATAAAACTGGGGACATGGATGATTGCCATAGTGAGCCCATGAGGTCCAAAGGGATAGCTCAGTTGATGGAGCATGCAGCTGTTGATCTCAAGGTTATGGGTTCGAGCCCCACTTTGGGTGAAAGATTCCTGCACGGCAGGCGGTTGGACTAGATGACTCTCGTGGTCCCTTCCAGCTGTACAGTTCTGTCGTTCTAAGTTGCACACCTCGAAACAGTTCAGGTGGCACAAGCTGCAAGAGATCCACTGCAGTTATATTACAGGATTTCCAGTTTGCAAAGGAAATGCACTGAGCTGAAGCAATTGTTGGCTTTGTTTATAGGTTGAAGATAACGAAGTGAAACTGTCAGAGAAGGCGCAGCAAATCCTGAAGGTTTGTAATGCAACTCGGCTGGCTGATTAAGCTTGAGGTCGTGTCAGTGTGTGAGTGTGTCTGGGTCTAACGCTTTGCTGGTGGAGGTTCCCAAGAATATTAAGTTTTGTGTTATATTGCCCGTTTCTGTCTCAGTGCTTGTCCTCTTCCTCCCCAGCACTTATTTTGCAGATTTAGCTATTTAAATGTGGTTTGCATGCACAATGAGAAGGCTAGAAGCAACTTTTCCGAGCCTGTCCTTGAAAGAAATGAGGCTAAGGGGCCATCGAGGGTGCAGTCCTCTGCCATGCATTCAGTTTAGATGAGGGGGCATTCAGTCCACTATTATGTACAAGCAGTCCTGCTTGATGGAGACAGAAGACAGCCCTCGCTTCAGGATGTCACCTCTGTCTAAAACTTGGCACTCCTCCCTCCAGGTGCCCCATACCTCCTCCTAAGGGGAGGCCTTGCAATCATTCTGAGAACCACTGGGGCAGGGATAGGGAATCTATGGCCCTGCAGATCCTGCCCATCCAACGTGACTGATGGAAGACCAAGAGAAGACCAAGGGCCACTGGTTGCCCATTCCTCCTGTCGGGTGCAGTCAGAAAAGACAAGAGGTTTTGCCATTGGTTCAGGGATGGCTCATAGATCAGCGGTAGAGCATGTGCTTTCCATAGCGATTTGAAAGATCACATAGCAACTGAGAAAACACCTCCTTTGTGCCTGAGACTCTGGAGAACCTCTGCCAGTCAGACAATGAAGAACTGAACGGACAAATTGTCCGAGTTGGTACCAGGCACCTTCCAGTGTTCCTAAGGGGTGTTGTGAATCAACGTTCAGCCGATAGGGAGAGAGTATCTTTCAAATATAATTGGTCCAGTTCAGAGACTCTGTTGCCATTGTTTGATCCTTAAAAACTCTCCACCTTTACAGGAAGAAGAATCTTTCCTAGGAAGCTTCCTGACGGGAGGCGATGGAGCCTATATTGCTTCCAGCAATTCGCTGTGTAGACCAGAGGAAGGTAAGCGACCTGCCCTGATGGGACATTCGAATGAACAGGCAGCGAAAGGAGAGCCCCCCCCCCACGCTCACCTTGGGTTTCTCAACTTCCCTGCTTTTTGATTCTCCCCCTGTCTGCCATTTTGTTGATGCCTGCGAATTTGAATCTCAAGTAGCGGTCAAGATTCAAAGGACCTCATGTCTAGCCCTGTGCCTGGACATGTGTGCCGGTTTCAGGAGCAGCCCCTTCCTTGTTGAACAGCAAGCCTCTTTTAAAAAACAGAGAGCTTCAGGAGCAGCTTTTGACGTGGCAGGAGGTAATCGAGAGCCAGTGTGGTGTAGTGGTTAAGAGTGGTAGTCACGTAATCTGGTGAACCGGGTTCGCGTCTCCGCTCCTCCACATGCAGCTGCTGGGTGACCTTGGGCTAGTCACACTTCTTTGAAGTCTCTCAGCCCCACTCACCTCACAGAGTGTTTGTTGTGGGGGAGGAAGGGAAAGGAGATTGTTAGCCGCTTTGAGACTCCTTAAAGGGGAGTGAAAGGCGGGATATCAAATCCAAACTCTTCTAATAAAATGCCATCAGTTATTGACACATCTGAAATAATTCTTAGGTCCTGGTCCTCATCCATTCATTTATTTATTACGGCCATAGGCCCATACAGGTAAAAACAACACATAAATAACAGCTTGTGCACGTGGGGAAAAAAACAGCCGCTAAAACACCACTATAACAATAAAATACTGTAAGATGGAATGGCATACTACGCCTTAATTAGCTTGTAGTGCTCCTTGGCGTCGCTTTTGGGTAGAGGACAGCGACCAGGAACCTAGCCACTTTCAGGGTCGTATGGGTATCCTTATCCTGCAAGATTTGGGCAAGGTGGAATTTTGGTGGGGTACCCTCTAGTTTCTGTATGATTGATCCCAACAAATTTGCCTGTGGCACATTGAACAAGGGGCAAGTGAACATAATGTGCTGGAGCGACTCCGGCGTCTCCTTATCACATTCGCACATGGCGGGGGCTTGGCCCTTTGAGAATCTATGTCTCAGGACATTGGAGGGAAAAACGTTGAACCTCGCTTTGGTGAAGGCCAGTCTATGGGCAACAGTCGAAAGGGAGGAGAGGTATGATGGAACACAGTAAGTTAAAGTGATACCAATGTTCTGGGGCGAACAAACACCTCCCCCCAGTGTATAATTTCGCTGTAAGTCGATGTCATCCAGTCTTTGGCGGATCAGTCTTTGAGTAGTGATTTGGTCTAGTTTTAGGGAATCTGAGGGAGAGATTCCATAACTCAGGAGTTTGGCATGAATTCTACTAGTCCAAGGGCTAGAGAATTCATCTCGCCATAAGCATTGGACAAGGTAATGGTTTGGTAATCTATGCCACAATGATAACCAATAATTGAAGACTTGCTTCCACAGGCAAGTTTCTAAGGATGCGATCTTCAATTCTAGTCGCATGGCTGCATTGCTTACGCACAGGGGGAGCATTAGTGATTTGTCTTTATTCTTTCCTGTTAGAACAATTGTTTTACTGTGAAATGGAATCCTCTCAAATAAACCCCCTTGTTGTGCTGCTAGTTGTATCTTGTCATCTCCCCGTTTCAGTATGACACTGCTCTGAGGCTCAAGCTCCACATCTAGCGTTGCCGCTCGTGGCGACATTTCCTTGGGGGTGCAAATCAACCCCATGGATCAGCAGAGCCGCTCTGCCCTTTAGCCGTAAAGACCTCCCTGAGTCCCCTTTCAGCTTGAGTCAGTCCCAGATGCCTGTCTAGATACGCCATTCTGGCGCTCTAACTTGGATTTACACACACACACACACACACACACACACAAATACAAATACACACATGGTGTACCACCTGAGCCTCTCTGACAAGGCCTTTGCACTAAGATGTTCACTTTAGGAAATCTCCTTTAGACCTCTTTATCCAAAAGGCTTTTCGGATAACCCAGCACTGCGTGGGCTTCAAGGTTTTAGCTTGCCGTATTTGGTTTAAGCGACAAAGTGAAACTGCAAATGTGCTTTTGCTCCCAGAGGGTAGCATTTGCTCCTAAAATATTACTTCCTTAAAAGTAAATACTGACTCTGGTAAGTTCCAGTATCTGGTGGATTTAATCACTGGAGTGAATTTTTATGCGTCGTTCACATTTTTTAAAAAAAAAAAGTGGGAAGAGGGTGAAAAATTAATTTGTGACTACGACTCTATTCTCTAATGAGAAATGCAGAAGAAAAGGGCGCATTTTGCATAGTTGCATTTCCATATTTCTGTCTCGGATTCAGCTTCTGTGGCATCACTTTATAGGAATGAGTTTCCCTAAAGGAATTTGCTAACACTTCACTGCCCTTAAAAGACAGCGTACAGACTATATAGAGCGATGCATCTGAAACACAAAAGTAGTTTGCTTATTTAAAGCGAGTGTAGTGTGGATGTGTCCAAAGGCAGCATCCGGGCCTGCTCTTGTTGGGACTGTTGCCTCTTTCCCTCATGTTCAGTTCAGCCTAAAAGTGGGCAGTACAGTGCATGATCCTCGAGTTCATAATAATAATAATAATAATAATTAATAATAATTTAGTTATTTATATCCCGCCCATCTGGTTGGGTTTCCCCAGCCACTCTGGGCGGCTTCCAAAAAAATATTAAAATACAATAGTCTATTAAACATTAAAAGCTTCCCTAAACAGGGCTGCTTTCAGATGTCTTCTAAAAGTCTGGTAGTTGTTGTTCGCTTTGACATCTGGTGGGAGGGTGTTCCACAGGGCGCCACCACCGAGAAGGCCCTCTGCCTGGTTCCCTGTAACTTGGCTTCTCGCAGCGAGGGAACCGCCAGAAGGCCCTCGGCGCTGGACGATAGGGATGGAGATGCTCCTTCAGGTACACTGGACCGAGGCCATTTAGAGCTTTCAAGGTCAGCACCAACACTTTGAATTGTGTTTGGAAATGTACTGGGAGCCAGTGTAGGTCTTTCAAGACCAGTGTTATGTGGTCTTGGCAAAAAGATCCACCTGGCTCCTTATACAGAGGGATTTTAAGCCGATGCATGAAGCATCTCATGTATTCTTCTCCTCCCCACCCCTGCTTCCCTTTGCAGGTAAGCTCTATTTCTTCTCAGAGGGCCTTCTGTTCTTCCACCCGCACTACGGAAGCATCACCATTTCCAAGGCTCACATGACATCCATCAGGTTCTACGATGGGGTGAGTGCTGTTCCATTCCAAGCTCTCTTCTTGCCGCAACCGCTCTGTTCAGGTGGAAAAACTTTCTCCAGACTTGTGCAACGCAGGAATCCAGAATTCTTCAGGGCAGAAATGCCCCCCCCCCACTCGGGAATAATAAGGACCAGAAGTTGGCCAGACTCTCCTCTGTCTCAGTTCACTGAGGGCAGGTGTAAGAAGAAAAACAGCCTTGAAAACTGGGGAGATGTGGGGATGAATTGCAATAAAATGGGGAGCGGTTTAGTGGTGAATGTTGCTGTCCCACAACATCAGGTGGTGCCAGGGCGGCTGCCTGCTGTAATAATAATAATAATAATAATAATAATAATAATAATAATAATGATGATGATGATGACGATGATGATGTTTATTTATACCCTGCCCTCCCCGGCCAGAGCTGGGCTCAGGGCAGCTAACACCAGTAAAATTACAGTACAGTGGTGCCTCACAAGACGAAATTAATTCGTTCCGTGAGTTTTGTCGTCTTGCGATTTTTTTCGTCTTGCGAAGCACGGTGTCGGGAAAGTTTTGGAAAAGCTTCAAAAATCACCAAAGTCTTCAAAAACCTCAAAAAAGGCTACCACACCGCGTGCTATGAGTTGCTCCTTGAAGTCAAGTCGCAACTGTATTAACGGTGTTAAGAAAAAGGAAACAAACTTGCAAGACGTTTCAGTCTTGCGAAGCAAGCCCATAGGGAAAATCGTCTTGCGAAGCAGCTCAAAAAACAAAAAACCCTTTCGTCTAGCGAGTTTTTTGTCTTGCGAGGCATTCGTCTTGTGAGGTACCACTGTAAAAACATAATAGGGAAAAAATCCAATTTAAAATACAGGTTAAAATGCAGTTTAAAATGCAGCCTCATGTAGAAGGAGGACTGGCATGGCAGTGGAATCAGCAGGGATCGTGTGCTCTTTTGCCCTGCACCCAACAGCTTAAGTAGGGAACTTTTAGACGTGCTTAAAGTATGTGTGTGTTTTCTTCTGCCTCGGGTCTTCGATTACATCACCACTCCACAATCTGCAAAAGCATTTGGTGGAAGCGTGGCTTATTATACGTGAAGAACAATGCATAATGGAGGGGTTAAACTTGAAAAGCTCCAGATTCAAAGGCTGTGAGCGCACATGCCCCTTTGAATCCTTTCTCCCCCTGCCTGCCTGCCCCTTTGTGGCGTTGCAAGCTGTGTGGGCCCTGACCTTCCTTCTATTGTTTGGCTCCGAGACACCCAACTCCTATAAACCTCTGGCTATTTATGGGCCTCGGCTATCGCTTCTGAACGGCTGCCAGGTATTCTGCGCAGAGCAAAAACTCCGAAAGGGAATTTGCATTGTTTCACTGACCTGGCAAGGCATGAGGCTGGAGAGCTAAAAAATAACACAAATGAGATGAGAGGTGGCGATAGTTGGGAACATCTGTAGCCTGGCAATAATGCAGATATACAGGAAGAGATAAGCGTTTTAATCTCTAAATGAATCAGCGCCCTAGCGGCATATTCTATAAGCTGCCTCCCCCCCACTTTACGCTGACCATTTCTCTTGATAGCCATCTGGGAAAAGGGGGGTGTTTCAGAATCGGCAGTGCCATATTTGAAGTGTTTGCACATTACCGCTGTGTTCCAGAAACCAACTTTCAGAGGGAACCTCCAGGATGCTAAAAACAGTTTCAGAGAACCTGCTTGCAAAAGCAATCATAAGCTCCCGGTCGGTTTCACTTTGGTTCAGTGTTGGTTGGTTTTTCTTCTTTGACCAGGTTCAGACATAGGTAAAGGTAAAATGGGCTGGTGGCAACTAAACAGGGGGCTTACCTCCCCATGCATCTCCCCCATCAGGGAGCTAATCCAGGATCAGGCCATTCAATCTTGCATGGAATCAAATGCTGTACTGTGACGCCCCTTTTAAACAGAGGTAGATAGTAGTGTTGCATTCTTGTACAAACGGCTCTTTCTAACCAACTGTTTTCAAACCTTGGAAGTATGTGCAAAAGGATGTCCATGATGTCGGGTTTTTATATATGGTGGACGTCCTTCGAGGTGGGCAGGGGCTCTTGGATAGCCAGTTTCCCACCCGCCTCCTTTCAGAAGTGGTTCTCTCCCTGTCCTTTTCCCTAGGACTCCACGAGTGTTGTTGCCGCTCTCCTTATCGACTACAAGAGCTCCCTGCTTGCTCACCTGCCGGTCCAGCTCCACACTCCAGGCAACTCTCTGATGATCGCGCTTTTCCCAAAGTCAAAGCTTTATAAAGCTTTCTACTCACAGGTGACGTGAACAAGAGATCGGTCTAGAAGTAAAAAAATGCCCTTTTCGATACGGTGGGCAAGGGGCGCCCCGTAGAGAGAGTGTTGCTTCGATGTTCTGCCGGCCGACTCCCCCTTGCGGTTGGTTTCCCCGGGTCAGGAAGGCTCGGGAAGAGGGATGAAGCCATCAGAAGCTCTGCCCCTTCCTGCCTCTCAGCTGGGCCTTGATCCGAGCAGGTGTTTCCATGTACATCCCCTTTCTCCCAAGTAACCTCACAGAGAGCTAGCCATGGACTTTGGCAGCTGCGGCTCTGAAGTTCTTTGTGGCCCTGTGGGTGATGGGAGTGGTCCGAGAGGCAGCCAGGAATATGGGCAGTTGGCATGGGGACTTCCAGTTTTGGGGTTGGCATATCCAGATCCACTAGCTTGAGGGTAACCAACGTGGTGCTCTCTCTCTCTCAAGATGTTGCTGGATTCCATCTTCCATCAGCGAGCAGCCAAAGATGATGGAAGTTGTTGTGTCTGACACCATCTGAAAGGCTACCACTGCAATTCCTCTTCAGGGTCACAGTGAAAATGCATCTTCTCCTCTGCGCAGACCTCAAGTTTGAGGTCTGGGCGGGGCTGAACCCTGGGACTTGGCTTGGTCGAAATGCCTCTGGTTTACTCTGACACAAGCGAGCGAGGAACCTTCTTTGCCACTGCTGTTTGCCTTCTCTGTCGTTGACTGTCTTTTGAAGTCACACAAGATGCCGTGTTCACCGATGGACAAATGTGCAAGTAATAATTTGCACACGTGAAAGGGTCATTGCAAGTCAGACATCACTGACGGCGTGTTCATGTTGTCTTCAGAGCGATGGCTTTTCAGCAGAGGCACAAATCATAAAATTGTTGAGCGGTAAACTGTGTGGTGAGAGAGTAGTGTTTGTGTGGTTTTGTGTGTGTTGTGTGTGTGTGTGTGTGTGTGTGTGTGTGAGAGAGAGAGAGAGAGAGAGAGAGAGAGAGAATCTGCCTTTGGCTCTATGGAGAAGAGGCAATGTTTTGTATTAATAGACTTTTGTTAAACAAAATGCATGGCAAATACCGAATAAAAACGGGTAATGAGTCAATTGAAGTAAAATCAGATTTTAAAATATCTTGGGAGTTACTAATCCACCAAAGCCTGAAATCCAAAGGGAAGTTGGTTAATATAGTACAGATCGTGCCATTTGTTTGTAGGGGGACGGTAACTCCCCCCCAAAAAGCATATCTTGATGAGCATGAGCCATGCTGACACATTAACCTTCTTCTCCAGAGTAATGATTTAACTGCTGTTGATTACTGGTAGAGGAAAAGCAAAGTATAATCTCATTAATGCTGACATGAAAAATAGCTCATTTTCCTCGTTATTAAATAAACCATTTAAAGCTCTGCAGCTCTGTTCCATTTCCATCTCTTAGTGTTAGCATTTATTACCATGGATGACAGCAGGCTCCAGTTGTTCTGGGAAACTCAGTTCGGTTTATTACAGATGTTAATAACTAGTAGTACCCCAGGAATCCTCTTGGGTTAGCCATCAGTGGCGGTTCACCTTCCAAAACAAATACCACCTCGTAACTCCACTGCAACTATTAAATGCAAATGCAGCATTAAACTGTGTAATTTGAATGTTTTGTGTTCTTCCTTGTAGGTTTGCTCTGCCTGGCAACAGCGGGGGAATTCGGGAGTAACCTTGAAGATGACCGAGGATGGCTGCCTGCCTGTAGAACAGGAGAAATTGTGAGCAGATGGCTCTTCCCCCCTCTGTAGAATGGCATGGAACAGGGGGGAGCCGCAAGGAAACAGGGCAGGGTGGAGTGCTCCTGTCCCAGGAGGCTTGCCTGCCAGCCATGCCCTTTTCTAGGATGTTCCATTCCATCCCACCTCCCCACTCAGCTTTTCCATTTTTCACCAGCCAGCCAGCATTCAGTGAGCACATTTAGCCTCTGTTGAGCTCAGCCACCGCTTGTCCCGCCCCAGAGGATTTTTCATTCATCTGCAAACCTTAGGGTTGAGGATGTTTCACCCCTCCCATTGCAAGAATCTGCTGACAATGTTTCAGAAAGGAGGGGGCGGATTTTGCTCACCGCTTCTTCCGCTCCAGCCTGTGGGAGTCTGAGTGTTATCTGTATATAGATAAGGTGACTGCTCAAGCAGCTGTAACACTCATGCAGTCCAGCGTCTCCGATTAGTCTTTAGTTAGTTTAGGCAGTAGCTGTACAGAATAAAAGAAGTTATACTTCAGAGCTGTTATTCATGTGGTTCATGCTCTGCTGTGCTCCGCTGACTTTTGGAACTGAGTTTGGTGCTCACAGCTCTAAGTTGTGAGTCCACAGCACTTAGACCTGCTCCCTGCAGCGGAAGGTCTCTGGGAGTGCTTTCCAGCTCGCCTGGCCCAGTCGGGGCTGAAGAGGTTGAGCCTGGTCGTTGGCACTGGCTCAAAGGCAAAGCTGACAAGGGTTTCCTCCTGTCGCTGCTCATTCCTCCCCCTTGTGCGCAAGTGGTGCTGTTTTGGCAAGATAAGGATCCCCACTAGAGAGCAAATTCACTCATAGAGAGCCAGTGTGGTGTAGTGGTTAAGAGCGGTAGACTCCTAATCTGGGGAACCGGGTTCGCGTCTCCGCTCCTCCACATGCAGCTGCTGGGTGACCTTGGGCCAGTCACACTTCTGTGAAGTCTCTCAGCCCCACTCACCTCACAGAGTGTTTGTTGTGGGGGAGGAAGGGAAAGGAGAATGTTAGCCGCTTTGAGACTCCTTAAAAGGGAGTGAAAGGCGGGATATCAAATCCAAACTCTTCTTCTTCTTCTTCATAGTGTATCTATAGAAAGGTTCTGTGTGCTGTGGAGTCCCTCGATGTGTGTTTCACGCTGACGTAAACTAAATATTGAGCCATTTCCTGGTTTGCTTGGTGTGTGCAGTTGCTTATTCCTCTCCCGCCCCCTGATCCATTGCATTTATTCTCTTGTGGAGTTAGCATTGCCAGCTTATATTAGTGGAGGTCCCTCCGGCCTCCTTTGAGGCCACTGGCCCTTCAGCTGGTGGGTCAGGGCCCGCGAGAAAGTCTCCCTGCAGCCTAAGGTGAGTCGCAAGAGTGCCAAAGCCATTTTCCTTTTTGCCCGGGTTTCTTTTTAAACAGGAGCACAGATGCAGAGAGTGAGAGAAAGACAGGTAACAATGCAATGGAGGAGAGTCACTCAGTAGTTTAATAGGAGCCCATTTATAGGTTCATCTTCTCTAAGCTGCCCCTGCCCCAATTCCCTCTTCTGTTAAAAGCTCTTAAAATTTCAGCGCTCTGCTGCTCTTTGCCATTCAGTCACCCTAAAAAGGAGGGGCGGGGGGAAACGAGTGTGTGCATGAAGAAATCTGAAGTTTGCCATTAAAATGTGTGTCCTGGCTCCAAAATGTTTGAAGGCTAACTGTCCTGATGCACACTGATGCAGTCATAGTGCATTCGCAGCAGATTTATACTGTGCATAGGAGATACGGTGGGGAAAATTACAGGCTTCCAGTAGGAGGCTCCTAGGCATGCACTGATTGGACACACAGCAGGATTTCCACTCCTGAAGTTCTGCATGGAGAAGCAGTGTTGAGGGGGAGTTGCGTCTTTCCACCCAGTGCCATCACGAGCACAAATCCTCTTGCATGTAGAATGCAAAGGGTACCTGGAGGTGTTCTTGGTCGCAGCCTGGCCTGGATGGCACTCCAGCAGAGCCACAGCTGTCTTTGGGCAAGAGGGAGGGAAGAAGTGAAAAGGAGAACGCTCTAGGAGGGAGAGAGGCTGAAGAGAGAGCGATTATATTACCTGGGCACAATGCAGGAGCAAAGGTCTCTTGTACAAAGCTGCATTGAATGAGTGGCGTATTTCACTCCCCTGCCAGACCGTTCCCTTGGCCTCATGTTGAAAGGTGAGTTTGAGACGTGGTGGTTTGGCTTTGCAGCAGTGCACGTTGACTAGAAGGAAACGGAGACAGCATTTTCCTACGGCCAGATCCTTCGTTCTAAATGTGTGTCCTTGTTCCAGGCATACCAGCATGCAGAAGCTTTTCACTGTCCTGTCCTGTCCCCCCGGAGAAAGATGGAGCCAGCTGAGAATATCGGTCAGCCTCCCAGATCTGGACAGGTGAGATTTCTCAAAAATAGCCTTTGCGTGGCAAGTTCCCGCCTCCCCCCGGTGGAAATAAAGACACATGGCACAAATACTAGGTTAATGGGCAAAAAATGGCCACAACTTTATTGGTTACAGGAATGAGCGGTATTGGCTTGGGCATTGGTCCTAACTGACTATATCCGACTCCAGCCCAATTGCTTGAAGACCCGGAAGGGTTAACCACCAGTAGGGGGAGTCCTGCTGATGCACATCAACTAGGAACTTCCCCGGGGTCACCGCTCGGGGGCGTGCCTTAGGCCCTCACCTCCATAGGCTTCGGACAGGGCCACGCCCCCCGGAATCCTTTACCGGACTACCCTTCGATATTCGGGGGAGCTGAGGCGGCAAAAGAGGGAGATCTCCGGCCGCACCAGTGTGATATCGTGCAAGCCACGCCCCCTAGGCCAGCTGATTGGCTGGCCAGGGGATGACGTGGCCGGGGATCCCCTCAATCGTGCGGAGGCTGAGAGCCAGCCCCCGCGCACATGAAGCCCGCAACTCCACCTCCTCTCGAGTTCAGAAGTGGTTTTGTGCTGACCAGAGGACAAGTTACCCCATGGAACCCCAGTTGTTTGTCAGCTGGGCACATGTCTCTCAACTCTGGGTGGGAATCGGGTCTTGTTATGGAGCAAGTTCTTAAGCCACAAATTGGCTGGTTTTGAAATTAATGGGGGAATGTGCTTCGAGAAACAGAGATAATGGGGTGTGTGGAGGAAGGGAGGCTGGTATGCACAAGCGCACGGCTTATACTTGGTCCAAAAAACCTAAGGTTTATTGGACTGAGATGATTCCATATAAATTGGGCCCTCGCTGGATTCTCGGCATCTTTGTGGGCTCAACGGCATCTGTGCAGGCCTCCGGGGATTCCTCTTGAAAAGTAAGTATGGCTGCGAACAACTCTGCGCTGTCTTCTTCCTCCAAAGATTTCTACAGCACTTTACGGTCAGCAGCGTAAGCCGTGAGCCAGTGATGAGAGCCCATTTGCCAACGTTGCTGCAGCAGTCCAAAGCACTTCCTGGCAACGAGGCAGAGAATGATAAGGTAAGACAGCTAATCTGATACCTGCGACATTTCTTAAAGGTCCTCTGTTTGCATTACAGTGTTTTTATTTCATTTTCATGCATTTTCCTCCAGTGTAACCCATCTTGGCAACCTGATTGCAAGGGGTTTTACGTACTTGTCTGCCATTTTTTAAAAAAACTTCTTTTCAAATTTGGCTTTCCTGCCCTTAAAATAGCCTCTTGTCTTGCAAACATAACATACGCACATGATTACTTCCACGTGCCCACAGACCCCTTTTTAGCCCCTTTAAAAACTAGCAGCGCAGTAACAATGGCAAAGATTTAACTAGTTCTTCTCCTGCTTTGAGGTGGTGATCACCATCTTAACCGGCCTCCCGGGATGTCGCTCGAGTGATCTTTGTTCTTTCCTGGTCACTTTTAACAAAGAATATGGAAGGTTAGTTGTGATTTACTTTGTTGCTGTTTTCCTCCTCCTCTTTTTTAAAAATAGTGGTGCTGATGGGAAAGGATGTCCTGCTAAAGCTGTTCGTAGGGGAGCAATTAGTGGTCAGAACCTTCTCCAAGTATGACCTCTCTGCCTTGGAGCCTGGTTCTACTGAGGTGCTTGAATGGTCTTTCCCAGTCTTTGCCAACCTGACGCTGCCCAGATGTTACGACTAGCTCCCATCAGCCCCATGGTTCCAGGCAGGGGTCTTTCCCTGCCCTCCCAGGAGATGCTTGGGATGGATCCTGTGGCCACTGAGCTGTGGCCTTTTGCCGAGGGCGACTCCCAGGGTGGTTTTTCCTCCCCCCCCCCATTCTGATTTAGACAGAGCAGAGGTGGGCGGGAAGTATTATTACTTATCCCCACATATTCTTTAAAGGCATTTGTTTTACCACCCCCTATGTTAAGTCTCGGGACGCAGGTGGCTCTGTGGGTTAAACCACAGAGCCTAGGACTTGCCGATCAGAAGGTCGGCGGTTTGAATCCCCACGACGGGGTGAGCTCCCGCTGCTTGGTCCCTGCTCCTGCCCACCTAGCAGTTCGAAAGCACGTCAAAGTGCAAGTAGATAAATAGGTACCGCTCTGGCGGGAAAGTAAAGGGCGCTTCCGTGCGCTGCTCTGGTTCGCCAGAAGCGGCTTAGTCCTGCTGGCCACATGACCCGGAAGCTGTACGCCGCCTCCCTCGGCCAGTAAAGCAAGATGAGTGCCGCAACCCCAGAGTCGGTCACGACTGGACCTAATGGTCAGGGGTCCTTTACCTTTACCTTATGTTAAGTCTCAAGGCGGTGTACAACACTATTAAATTGCAGGAAGAAAGGGCAGGTGAAAAAAACTAGGGCAACATAAGTTACAATGTGCTGACGATAACGTACAGTGGTACCTCAAGTTATGAACTTAATTTGTTCCGGAGGTCCGTTCTTAACCTGAAACCGTTCTTAACCTGAGGCGCGCTTTCACTAATGGAGCCTCCTGCCAGCGCACGATTTCCGTTCTCATCCTGGGGCAAAGTTCTCAACCGAGGTACTACTTCCGGGTTAGCGGAGTTTGTAGCCCGAAATGTTTGTAACCCGAAGCGTTTGTAACCCAAGGTACCACTGTACTAATGATATGTGGTGCTTCGGACGGTGTTGACAATGAAGCAGGCAGCATTGTTCTGACTTTTTATTCTCTTTTAGGTGGCTTGTTTATCGCCAGACCATGGACAGCCCTGAATGTTTCAGTGCAGCTCATTTCCAGCGGTTCCTGGCAAGCGTCCTTGAACCCCAGCACAGCCGAAGTGCCCGTCTCTCGGCTTACAGTAGGAAGAAAGTGAGGCTGCTGGTGGTTCTGCAAGGGTAAGAGACTGCTTTTAGATCTGCGTGAGCTTTTAGCAATCTGCCATCTTCATGTTGCCGCTTTGAGATGCGTTTGACCTCAGATCTGTAAAGTGGGAGGTGGGTTTAGGTAGAATGGGATCTTCTGGTAGATCTCTGGATGATGTACACTAGATTGATAACAGTTTCTGGCTCCCAGTTGTCTTACAGTGGCAGCAACTGAAAGTCACCACTCCCACCACACACCAAAACCAAGATTGCTGAAAAATGAATGCTTGGAGCGGGGAACCAGGAGTGGATTTTTTCTGTGAAAGATCCTGATCACAGATACCTTGACTCTGAGGCATTCCTCTTGTTTAATTCTTAGTGTATGTCCGCCCAGCTGAGATACTCTTTTCGGCTGGTGGATCTTAGGATTCTAGTTTTGTTTTTTTAATTTTAAAAAAGTGAAGTAATTCCCACAAGCCTGAAGCCTGCTTACCCCTGCAGAGAATGGTAGCAATACTCAAACAAACTATTCAAAAGTATAGCCAACATCTTGTAGGCAAAGGACACCTACACCCACACACACAAAAAAAGAGAGGCACTTGATGGTCTTTTCCACGTAATCTGGTAGTCACGTAATCTGGGGAACCGGGTTCGCGTCTCTGCTCCTCCACATGCAGCTGCTGGGTGACCTTGGGCCAGTCACACTTCTTTGAAGTCTCTCAGCCCCACTCACCTCACAGAGTGTTTGTTGTGGGGGAGGAAGGGAAAGGAGATTGTTAGCCGCTTTGAGACTCCTGAAGGGGAGTGAAAGGCGGGATATCAAATCCAAACTCCTCCTCCTCTTCTTCTTCTTCTTCTTCTTCTTCTTCTTCTTCTTCTTCTTCTTCTTCTTCTTCTCCTCCTCCTCCTCCTCCTCCTCCTCCTCCTTGATATAAAGGGATGCTTTTAGAGTTTTCAGAAGCCTTTTGCTTTGGTACATGGCTACATGTTCCAGAAAAATCCAAAATAACACACATGAATGCAGGTGAACGCGCACACTTTATCCAAGCATAAGTTTGGAGCGAGAGAGACTGTTTTTGTAACTTTTAAATAGCCCCAAGATAGCAAGTAGAAAGGCCTTCGTTGTCTTCCTTCCTGCCTCAAAGCTCCCACGCAGCACATTTTATCGGACTGGGTGGCAGGAGCAGCCTTGGCAAGCATTGTTTTGGTCTTGATTCTCAAAGCATCATGAAATGGCTCTCCAAGGGAAGTGCTGCTGAGCTGAGGGGAGTTATGGACCCAACACGGAAGCCCTTTACAATAATGCACCAAGGCATTTCTATTAAGAAATGTCGGAAGTGAGGTCAAGTATACTTTGCCCGCCAACGCAGAAGAAGGGATGGCAAGAAGCCTTTGAAAAAGCTGTTTGCAGCAGATCAGATCAGATCGTCACCTTTGGCATTTTGAGAAAGAGATGAACACAATGGAAACCAGGGTTGAGGGGGGACACAAACCAATTGGTGCACGACCTCTTGTCCTTTTTCATTGCTGTCTCTCTTTGCCTGCATCTCGAGAATGATGCTCTTAAGACCCCTGCTGGCTGGAGTCAAGGGTCTCTCTAAGCCACAATCCTGCTCTCTGCCAGCTACCTAAGGCGGTGGCAGATGTCCCTGCTGTGTGTTCCCTGCTGCGCACCTGATGTTCAGATGTGTATGGCAGTCACCCCCCAGCAGAACCAGGTACCCTCTAAATGTTTTGCACTACAACTCCCATCACCTCCTAACCTGCACAGCTGAAGGTTCCTCTTCGATACGCTGCAGGGGGTGTCTTTTTGTGAATGACTGTGAGAAGGGAGAGATGCCCTTGCGCAAATCACAATAGAAGAGCCATTTTACCTCCCTGCCCCAGGACTTTGGATAAGAAATGCTTTCTAGAATCGAAGCTCATTTGCGCCATTCACGTATACCCACGGTCTCCTTCCACCTAGGCTGGCAGCAGCCATAGTCCTTGTGCTTCCCCGTCGCGTCACAACCCTTTGCTTTCGTTCCATCTGCAGATACACAGACGTGATTGACGTTGTGCAGGCCCTCCAGACTCACCCAGATGCTGACGTGAAGGCTGCTTTCGTCATTGGAGCCATCAGTACTTGCGTCGAGCCGCTGAGTTGCTACATGGAACACAGGTAACCCCTTTGCAAGCCCCTGCATGCATGGCACGGACATTTCTTCCTCGTGTACCTGCATGTTGTCATGCCAGCTGCCTTAGAAGCCACAGATTTCTGTAGCCAGGGAAGCCGCACCTTGCGAGCTTTCCTAGATGAGACCAGAAAGGTCGCAGCATGTCTTATCCGGAGAAATGTCTTGGCTGAAAGGGTCTTCCCTGGGAAGTGATCTTGCCTGAGCGCTGTGATCAGTTGAGGTAGATAACCGTATGCTTGAGGAACCAGTGATCTTCCTGAGGGTGTGGTAGCTTCAGGGGGCTTGGAAGACTAGCAGACGACATCTGCCTGTCTCCCTAATGCTAAGACGTGTGTGCATTTGTATTTTACAGGCTTCTTTTCCCCAAGTTCCTGGACCAGTGCTCACAAGGTAAATACTCTGTATGCAAAAGTAAGATGTACATTTCCTTTCAGGAATGAAGCTGTAAGCCTTTAAGGTGTCCTGTGGAGACTGCTGCTGTACGGGATGGTGTTGGCCAGCCATATATCTGGCTAGCAGACGGCAAGAATTAGGATGCAGCAGGAGACCAGGCGCTGAAAACTTAGTAGCAAACTGCAATGTAGAGAACCACTTGCAGAAGTGTCTGGTAGCTTAAGGAAAGCTTTAAAAGTGGGTCCTGATGGACAAGAGGGTGGCAGCCTGACAAGCAATCTCTGCTGTCAAGCGAGCAGGAGAGCTGGATTGCTGTGTGACAGCAGTTTCAGGGAGGAGAGTTGAGCTGACCTTTAAAAACCCACAACAGAGTCTTGTCCTTTTACTGAATGCCTTGGCTTACCACCTTTATGCTCTGATCTCCCAAGAGCACCCAGTGGCTGGTGAAGACATTCCCTAAGACAGCTGACCCTGTTTGCTTTCTTCCCCCCCCCCCCAGGTTTGGTGAGCAACGTGGTCTTCACAAGCCATACAGCCGAGCAGAGACACCCACTCCTTGTTCAGCTCCAGAACCTCATCCGAGCCGCGAACCCCACCGTTTCGTTCATCCTGGCAGAAAACGGGGTCGTGACCAGGTAAGCCTGGATGTTTCCACCTGCCCTCTGCGGCACGTGGGCCACAGAAGTGGAGAGAAACGCCAGTCCTTTTTGGGCGCCTTGCACAGGAATGAAGCAGATGTGAGAACTCTCAGTTGCCTGGGCTGCCATTTTGCAGCCGAGACGCCTCCGCTGCTGCCGGCAAGCTGGCATTTTCCATATCCTCCTCCGTTGCTGCTCTCCAAGCAGATGTTCCCAGACTATGACTCACTGAGAGTTTTAAATCCTTGTTTACATTACATTAACAGGGCCGCAAGCTACACTCAAGCTCCCTTTCGGAGGGTTGTGGGAAAACGGGATTGAAATGCTTTGGATATTGAAGAAGAAAATGGTTCTTAGGGGTTTGAAGACAATTTTTTGGATCAGGAAGACTAGAAGCCAAAAAGCACCTGCTGTTACATTAAAATGGCAAGCCAGGAAAGACCCCCCAGGTTGATCTGACTCACCTGGTGGGAAGGATGCAGGTTTAAATCCTGATGGTTGCCTCTGCTTCTGGGAAAGTGCTCTTTAAAGGTGATTCCCCCCCCCCCCCTGTAAACGAAACCTCACTCTCTCTCCTGCTAGGAATGAAGACATCGAACTGATCCTATCTGAAAACAGTTTCTCGGCTCCACAGATGCTGACGACTCGCTACTTAACCTACCCTGGCTGGCAAGTATCTCCTTTTGGTAAAAAGGTTTCAAGTGCAATATCCTTTAATAAACATGAGCATTATAAAGCACTACTAGATTTATTTTCCCCTCCGTTTAATCTGCCCAGATAAATCACTTCGGTAATGAAATGCTGCAATTAGTTTCTTAGAGAAATCCATTCAGTTGTCTTCTTGTTCTCCAGCCCCATTTTCTAATTAAAAGATGGCTGTCCAAACTGGAGAGCACTGTAGAAATTTCACCAGACAGGGACGGAATCTCTGAAAGGTCTCCTAGTCCATCTCTTTTCAGTGTTGCCAGTGCGGTTTCTGCTGTTTGGGCAACAAAAGGGAGTTGAACACTTGGAAACCAGTTTGCAGTTGGGAGGCAGTCATGAGCTAAGAGGGAAATAAGAGGGTTTTTGTGGGGCGTTCCTTACAGATGCATTGCAAGAAGCCAAATATCTTGGACATCATATCGCTTATTTCCCCCTCTTGATCTCCTGTTTGAATGCAGCGTCTTATGTTTAAATACCTCTAACACTCAAATTCACCTAGAATCAGAGTCAGAAGGGACGCTGAGGGTCATTGAGTCCTTTGTAGGAATCTCAGCTAAAGCGCCCATGGCAGATGGCTATCCAACCTCTGCCTAGAAACCTCCAACGAAGGAGATTCCACAACGTCCCGAGGGAGCCCACATACAGGCATCACTTGTATGTTGCAATGAGAGGAATGATGCACATATTTACGTTTCCGAGCACAATTCAAAGTGTTGGTGATGACCTTTAAAGCCCTAAACAGCCTTGGTCCAGTATACCTGAAGGAGCGTCTCCACCCCCATCATTCTGCCCGGACGCTGAGGTCCAGCTCCGAGGGCCTTCTGGTGGTTCCCTCCCTGCGAGAAGCCAGGTTACAGGGAACCAGGCAGAGGGCCTTCTTGGTGGTGGCGCCCTCCCTGTGGAACGCCCTCCCACCAGATGTCAAGGAAATAAGCAGCTGTCTTATCTTTAAAAGACATCTGAAGGCAGCCCTGTTTAGGGAAGTTTTTAATATTAAAAGCTGTATTGTTTTTAACACTCGAATGGGAGCCACCCGGAGTGGCTGGGGAAACTCAGCCAGATGGGCGGGGTATAAATTATTATTATTATTATTATTATTATTATTATTATTATTATTATGCTCTTCACATTTGAACACTTTGCCATTCCAGTGTTAGGTTTTTAACCTCACTCCATGAACATACGTGAACATTAGGGTTGGTGGTTCCCCACCCTTGCTTTAACTGAAAATGCCAAAGATCTAATCCAGGACTTTCCACGCGCAGGTCATGTGCTCTTCCATGAAACTTTGACCCTCCCTCCAGCACATACAGTGGAACCTCTACTTACGGACATAATCCGTTCCAGAGGTCCGGCCGCTGGTCAAAATGGGATGCTAGAAAAGGCGTCTTGTGCGCATGCACATTTGGTGGTGGCACACTTCTGTGCTTGCGCAGATGGCGGCAGCTGCTTCTGCACATGCGCAGACGGCAGAAGCCACTTCCGCACATGCACGAATCATGGCAAACCCGATCTTTATTTCCCGGTTTGCCGCAGACGCAACTTGGAACATCCGCGAAACGAGGCGTATGTAAGTCGAGGTTCCACTGTTCATTCATGCTTTTGCTGGAGAAAGCAAGCAATCTAAGGAGCATGCATTGCTGTGTCATCCCGGACTAGCTGTGGCGCTTTGAATCATAGATTCATAGCGTTGGAAAGGGTCACGAGGGTCTCCAACCCCCTGCAATGCAGGGGTCTTTTGCCCAACATGCGGCTCAAACCCACAACCCTGAGATTCGGAGTCTCGTGCTCTGCTGACTGAGCCACCTCAGGACTGAGCCCTAACCACAGTCTGGTTGGCCACCTTCTTTTGTCTTGAATACAATATTTTTTTCAGTGCCACTAAAAATGTTTGTGACTCTCAAACTTCAAGGAAGCCAAAATCCTGAATGATTTTACTATTTTGAATCCTGCTCCTCATTCAAGTTCCGGAGAGGGATGTGTGTGTGTGTTTTTCCCTTCGCTATAACCCTTCCTGCAACACCCCAGGTTCCTTCCTCCCATTTACCTGCTCTCTTGCTGTTTTCTGTCTTTGCAACCTTTGCCATCACTACTACTGCATAGTAAAAGGAGTCTGTGGGTGCCTGTTAAGAAGAGGTCTGCTTCATGACCTGATCCTCATCCGACAGCGGGTTGCAAGAGCTTTGGGACCGGACCAAAGTTGGAAAATTGACTCACTGACATGATTCCTTTCTCCTCCTTCTCCTCCTCCTCCTCCTCCTCTTCAGGTACGAGGGCAAATTCTGTGCAGGTTCCACCTTTCCCCCGATGGTTCAGATCTGTGTGTGGTTTAACCGTCCTTTGGAGAAAACACGATTTGTGGCCAAGTGTAAAGGTAAGAAGCAATTGAATGCAGAGATTAATTTAAGTGTGGCGTTTTCTCCCTGAAATTGCTAGCAAATTACATTTGTGGCCAGAATATCTCCCCCCCCACACACACTTTACAGTTGATTTTAGGTGTCATGAAATTTAATGGCTATTTTTTATTGCCTTATTTTTAATGACCCGGGTGTTGCCTTGAGTGCAAAAATATATTGACCCAGCTGAGGGTCCTGTGCACCTTGATTTGGGGAAAGGGTCCTCTTTGCTTCCTCACCACCTGCTGCCAAGGGTCCTGGGCTGCCCTTGCCCTATGCCACCCCACCAACGCCCAGCATAGCCAGCAAAAACTTCACATCCTTGCACCTGTTCATCGTTTCCACAAGCAGAAGCCTGAAAATCTGCAACCGCAAACCTTCCTGCTGTGTCTCGTGCTCAAAGCCAATTATGTATGTCAAGAAAAGGGATGCCTTGGTGTTTGGTTTTTCTTTTGCCCAAATTCAGTTTTGCGCACACATTTCTGCGATTAGGTACAAACATTTCCTGAGCATTTGAAAAAATTGCTCCCTTAACCATGAAGGCTAGAAACCCTTTTAAGCCAAAAATGAGATTTGAGGGAGCTTCGGTTTCCACACCACCAGGTCCCAGATTTTGGCATGAAATCTCAAGCCTAGTAGTTTGTATGTATTGCAACACACATCCTTGTATCATTTTATATACCATAATCTCTGCCTAGCAATGACATGTATTAAATCTCTGCTTTGCTCGTGTTACCTTGCTCACATATCTGATCCTAGAAGACTTTAAAAGGGGATTGTTTTAAAAAAGCAAAGCCTTCTTGTTTCCTTTATGTATAATGCAGGCTTTGCCAATGTTGCCCCTGGCCTGATAGTAATTGCACTCCAAAACATCTAGAGAGCAGTATATGGTCAAGGACTGCCTTTTTTCTTTTTCAAAAAAAATTGTTTAATCATTTTTTCGATACAAACATCAACCGCAAAAGACACACACAACAAAAACCATAATAACAATAACAACATAATTTGACAATTCAGATTTGAATACACTGATATACCTATGACTACACCTTAAGGACTGCCTTAAAGTTTGCAGCATGCTGGGCGCTCAATAAAGGGTTACGCTAAAGCTATGCAGGGACGAGGGTGGCGCTGTGGGTAAAAGCCTCAGCGCCTAGGGCTTGCCGATCGAAAGGTAGGCGGTTCGAATCCCCGCGGCGGGGTGCGCTCCCGTTGCTCGGTCCCAGCGCCTGCCAACCTAGCAGTTCGAAAGCACCCCCGGGTGCAAGTAGATAAATAGGGACCGCTTACTAGCGGGAAGGTAAACGGCGTTTCCGTGTGCTGCGCTGGCTCGCCAGATGCAGCTTTGTCACGCTGGCCACGTGACCCGGAAGTGTCTCCGGACAGCGCTGGCCCCTGGCCTCTTGAGTGAGATGGGCGCACAACCCCAGAGTCTGTCAAGACTGGCCCGTACGGCCAGGGGGTACCTTTACCTTTACTAAAGCTATGCAGGTGTCTTATTTCTCCCATACATATTTTCTAGCCTCCATGGAATTAATTCCACGATGAAATAGGCCTTGCAAATGCTTTTCATTTCCCATTGCACCCCCCTCCTTAGTCAAGAAAGATTAAGTCACTTGGCAGCATTTTCTCTATGTCTTTCTGTTTTCAAACAGCCCTGAAGTCCTCCAAAAAGTCAAGTCCTTTCTCTGGAAACGTGTACCACATTTTGGGGAAAGTTAAGTTTTCAGGTAACGAGCGAGTTACCCCATTTATCTCCTTAGGGAAATGCTATGGGGTGGGACCCTTTGCTGCCAACCTCCCCCCAAACTCCGCTCACGGATACTCCTGCTGCAAGTTGGGGGGGGCTGAGGGGGTTTCCTGCCAATTCCCTTTCCCTCCTGCAGCCTCTTATGCCTCCCCCTCGCCCAAAGAAACAGGCTCCAAAGTGTTTAGGGATGCTTCCAAACAGCAGAGGACGTGATGATGGGAACTGCAAGGGGGAGCCGGTGAAGGTCGCCTCTCCTCTTCCAGCTTCCGTATCACTGGGAGCCTCCCTTGGATGGGGATCCTTTCCTTTTGCAGGAGGAGTCCTTTCATTCGCGTCCAAGCTTTTATATCTCGGTTTTTACAGCATTGTTTTGAAGTTCCTTGGACTGAAACTCCCCTGGAAGGTGGGGGAGATCTGTCTTCCTCTCTGTCTCTCTCTCTCTTTACTTATTTATTTTATTGTGCCGTGGAAGAAGTTTGTTTCATTAGAGTGTTGACGGAATTAATACCCTGCCCCCTGGTTTTGTTTTTTTTTTTTGGTTTTTTTCTTAGAAAAAAGTAGTGTTTTGCATTTTGTGTAAAGTATATTGGGACACGGGTGCCGCTGTGGTCTAAACCACTGAGCCTAGGACTTGCCGATCAGAAGGTTGGCGGTTCGAATCTCCGCAATGGGGTGAGATCCTGTTGCTCGGTCCCTGCTCCTGCCCACCTAGCAGTTCGAAAGCACGTCAAAGTGCAAGTAGATAAATAGGTACCGCTCCGGTGGGAAGGTAAACGGCGTTTCCGTGCGCTGCTCTGGTTCACCAGAAGCGGCTTAGTCATGCTGGCCACATGACCCGGAAGCTGTACGCCGGCTCCCTCAGCCAATAAAGCGAGATGAGCGCCGCAACCCCAGAGTCGGCCACGACTGGACCTAATGGTCAGGGGTCCCTTTACCTTTACCTTTTATGAAGTCATATTACTAGGTTTGCCTGCTAGCATTAGGAAACATTTATATATACAGTGGTACCTCGAGTTACAAATGCCTCAGGTTACAAACTCTGCTAACCTGGAAGAGTTACCTCGAGTTGAGAACTTTGCCCCAGGATGAGAACGGAAATCGTGTGCCAGTGGCAAAGCGGCAGCAAGAGGCCCCATTAGCAAAAGCATGCCTCTAGTTAAGAACAGTTTCAGATTAAGAATGGACCTCTGGAACAAATTAAGTTCGTAACTAGAGGTACCGCTGTATAAATATTAAAGTGAGGCAGGGAGTTCAGTAAATCGAAATTTTGCTTAGTGCCGGCTGAGATGCAGAACTCGCTAGGGAGCAATTCGCCCACCATTCCTCTCAAAATGAAACGGGGTTCTTAAGGAATAACACCCATTCCTGCTCTTCTGCATCAGATTCAGATCGGACAATCGAGGTCTGCCACAACACCTCGTCCAACTCCTTAAGCCTGGTGCCTGTTCAGGAGGGGCCAACCCCTTTCCCTCCTCCTGATTCAAGAAACGATGGCCGCGATCACAGCGGGCCTCAGGAGTACTTCCTGGTCTTCGTCGGCTGCTCCCTCAAGGAGGACGACATCAAGGACTGGCTGAGGCAAACTGCAAAGCAGGTGGGTCACCGTCTCCTTTTGGGAGAAAATTCCCTTTTGGGGGTCCAGCAACGGAGGCTCACATCTAATTCCCAATTAGTCAGACTTCATTGAGTAATGCATTAGCAGACAGAGTGTCAAAGAGTCTCTGAGGGCATTTCCATCAGCACACAGCCTTTATACTAGCTTTTCTCAAACTTGGGTCCCCAGGTGCGGCTGGACTACAGCTTCCATCATCCCTAGCTAGTAGGGATGATTACCTGGCCCTGCACATGAAGAGGCATGTGTGAAGCATGGCCTGCTCCCTGGGGCACCTGGGTGGGATGTGGTAGGGATGAAGAAGAGGGGGATGGGACAGGACAACGGGACAGGGATGCAAAGAGACTCTGAGCTCTATGCAGGGATGGAATATTTTCTTATTGGACAAAGAAATAAACAACTACAGTGGTACCTCAGGTTACATACGCTTCAGTTTACAGACTCTGCTAACCCAGAAATATTACCTCGGGTTAAGAACTTTGCTTCAGGATGAGAACAGAAATTGTGCTCTGGCAGCATGGCAGCAGCAGGAGGCCCCATTAGCTAAAGTGGTACCTCAGGTTAAGAACAGTTTCAGGTTAAGAACGGACCTCTGGAACAAATTAAGTACTTAATCCAAGGTGCCACTGTATATGACATTTAGAAGACATCTGAAGGCAGCCCTGTTTTGGGAAGTTTTTAATGACTGATGTTTTAATATACAGTGGTATATTAATCTGCTTTTCTTTGCATTTGAACTTAATACAGTGCATGCATTGAATCGGAAGCACTTCTCTGTTATCATTATTTATTACATTTATATACCACCTTTATTTCCTGAAGATCTCAAGGTGGTGTGCATGGTTCTCCTCCTCCTCCCCATTTCATCCTCTCAACAACCCTGTGCGGGAGGTTAGTCTAAGAGATGGTGACTGGGATTCGAACCCTGCTCTCCCAGGTCATAGTCCAGCATTCTGGTCTAACCATTACGCCACACTGTCTCATAGATGTTCATGTTCGATTTCCGGCCTTGGAGCATTGAAATACCGGAAGATTTATTTGTGTAGCACCGTCTGATTGCCAGGTTCTGGTAACCATAGATTCCTCTCCAATTCCGCTTGCCGTTCTGATACACAAACTGAGGAGTGGGTGGGATCAAAGGCGGGCTTCAGGGCTTCCTCCTGTTTTGTGGATTAGTTCCACAGTTGGGCTTCTTCCCCCTTCCCCCCACCCTTAAACACACACACACACACACCAGACACACACACACCAGACACCGTTACGTATCTACCCAATTTGCATATAAAAGATAAAACACCCTTAGAAGCTTGACATTTTAAAAATTCATAAACAGCATTTGTAACAAGATCGCAATCCAGCAGCTGTGATTCAGATAATTAATGTTTGTCAATTCCGCATATCGCATGGAAATGAATATCTGCAACCTTAATCAAGTTAAAAGCGGGATTGCTCTGCCCTCGATGTATGTCAGGCCTTTATTTTTAAAAAATAAAATCTTTTGAGAGTTTGCTGCATTAGGGCATACTGTGTACAGTACAGTGGTACCTCGCAAGACGAATGCCTCGCAAGACAAAAAACTCGCTAGACGAAAGGGTTTTTTGTTTTTGAGCTGCTTCGCAAGACGATTTTCCCTATGGGCTTGCTTCGCAACATGGAAACGTCTTGCAAGTTTGTTTCCTTTTTCTTAACACTGTTAATACAGTTGCAAATTGACTTCGAGGAGCAACTCATAGAACGCGGTGTGGTAGCCTTTTTTGAGGTTTTTAAAGACTTTGGTGATTTTTGAAGCTTTTCCAAAACTTTCCCAACACCGTGCTTCGCAAGACAAAAAAAATTGCAAGACGACAAAACTCGCAGAACGAATTAATTTCGTCTTGCGAGGCACCACTGTACTGTAATTTTAATAATAATAATAATAATAAAATTTTATTTATATCCCGCCCTCCCCAGCCGAAGCCGGGCTCAGAGCAGCTAACAACAGTAAAATGATAAAACATTCTAAAATCATTTCATTATCAAATTACTTCAAATCAGATTAATGGCAACCATTGGGCTAGAGTTCTGTGAGGATTGCCAAAGGAGGGAGTCAGGCTGTGCCTTGGCCAAAGGCCTGGTGGAACAGCTCTGTCTTGCAGGCCCTGCGGAAAGATTTCAAGTACCGCAGAGCCCTAGTCTATTGTGACAGAGCGTTCCACCAGATCGGGGCCACTGCCGAAAAAGCCCTGGCTCTGGTTGAGGCCAGCCTAACCTCCCTGTGGCCCGGGGCCTCTAAGATGCTTTTGTTTGAAGACCGTAAGGTCCTGTGTGGGACATACCAGGAGAGGCGGTCCTGTAGGTACGAGGGTCCTAGGCCGTATAGCTTGTTCATAGATTGCATTTGAGCTATTCTAAGGGATCCTGGTCACATCTGCAGCATACATTTAAAGCACTCTTACAGCACTTCGACAATCATGCCTCTCCGCCCCCAAAAGAATCCTGGGAACCGTAGTTCTTTAAGGATGCCAACTTCCCAGCGCCTCTAGCAAAGCGCAGCTCCCAGGATTTCTGCACGGCTGCCCAAGAGTGCTCTAAATAAGTGTTGTGTTTGTGACCTCGGTTCAGTCGGCCCAAATGGTTTACGGTTCTAGGGTGGCCTCCTGAAGCGCTGGGTGCTGCACCCGGCCTCGTTTTCTCCATCCACAAAACGTGAACGAGGACACTGCGATGGCGGCTATTTGTATATAAAGGCTGCAAACCTACACAGAAGAGCCTTTGGGCTGAGCAGGGCTCCAGTGCACCCAGCATTGCAGTGTCAGAGATCTATATAAATACCGTATTTCTTGTTCTATAAGACGCACCAGACCACAAGACGCGCCTAGTTTTTTGGAGGAGGAAATGAAGAAGAAAAATATTCTGAATCTCAGAAGCCAGAACAGCAAGAGGGATTGCTGCGCAGTGAAAGCAGCAATGCCTCTTGCTGTTCTGGCTTCTGGGATAGCTGCGCAGCCTGCATTCGCTCCATAAGACGCACACACATTTCCCCTTACTTTTTAGGAGGGAAAAAGTGAGTCTTATAGAGCAAAAAATATGGTATTCACAGTGATGGGGAACTGTGTGGCTTCTTTGAAATGATGGGTTTGTGAGAAGCAGCCTCTTTCGTCGAAATGAAAGAGTAGGCTCTCCAGACAACATGTGAAGGGGGTGCCCCCGATAATCCTGTGGACAACAAGCACACCTGACTGGAAAGCCTTCTCACGTAGCCCAGGGAGCATCACCCAGCCTGCTCTGGTCTACCTGATCTCTCCTAGTTGCCATTCCAAGTCTTCTTCTGACAGCTCTTTGGTCCAGAGAAACTTTTGCCCTGTGTGTTTTTCAGCCTTAGCAGTTTCCCTTTGGTCGTGTTCGAAGCGCACGTCCCTTGTCTTTCTTTGATGCGGGGTTCCCCGAACTTGGGTCTCCAGCTTGTTTTTGTTGGACCACAACTCCCATCATCCCTAGCTAGCAGGACCCCAGTGGTCAGGGATAATGGGAACTGTAGTCCAATAAACATCTGGGAAACCCTCCTCTTATAATGTCACACTGTCATGTTCAAAAGCAGTGAACTGGGCTTTTCCTGATGTCTTTATCCAAACACAGAAACCGCAGAGGAAGGCTCTGAAAACCCGGGGCATGCTGACCTCGCAGGAGATCAAGAACATCCATGTAAGTCAAAGCCAAATACGCCTTTCCTATTCATTTTTTAAAAATATTTTTTATTAGTTTTTTAACATATCATTTTCAAATAATTAAACATACTTTTACATCTTATACAATTTTTGGACTTCCATCAATCACATCTGAAAATTTTCCAATCTAATCACTTAATACACATTTCTTACTTTCGCTATTACCTTTAAATCTTATAACTAATCTCTCTTCTTTCTCTATTTTGCAATGTTTCATATATTTCTCCTTACAAAACTTCTTGTAATCCTACTAGCATAATTTGTTGATTACAGTTGCTCTTCAAATAGTCTGTATATTTTTTCCAATCTTCTGTAAATCTCTGGTCCCGCAAGTTTCGAATCCTTCCTGTCATTTTATCTAATTCTGCGTAGTCCATTAATTTTGTCTGCCATTCTCCTTTCGTTGGGATTTATTCTTGCTTCCATTCCTGGGCTATCAATACTCTTGCCGCTGTTGTTGCATATAAGAACAATTTAACATCTTGTCTATTAATATCCTCGCCTATAATACCAAGCAAAAATGCTTCTGGTTTTTTTAAGAATGTATATTTCAACATCTTTTTCATCTCATTATATATCATTTCCGAGAAGTTTTTTACTACGCCTTTCCTATTCAAGGGCAGGGGCAACCTTAGCTCAGTGGGCAGGACTTTAGCTGAGACTCCTGCATTTCAGGGGGTTGGACTAGATGGCCTTTGGGTTCCCTTCCAACTCTACAATTCTCTGATTCTATGACTAATGAGGGGACGAGAGAAGGCAGCCTTTTACCACCAGTCAATGCAAGGCAGCCTTATAGTCCCTCCCACTGAAGCAGCGATTCCTGTAACTGCCTATTATTATTATTATTATCCTTCTTCCAAGGAGCTCACTGTGGCCTGCACAGATCTTTCCCCTCCCCAACTTCATCCTCACAACAGCCCTGTGAGGTAGGCTAGGCTGAGAAGCAGCGACTGGCCCGAGAACTCCTAGTGAGTCTCCTGGCCAAGTGAGGATTCGAACCCTGGTCTCCCAAGCCCGAAGCCGACGCTCTAACCACTATGCCACCTTGCCTGCTCTTTAAACACAGAGAGGGTTGTTCAGGTTTACGCTAAAATTAATGGACCTCCTTTAGCCACATTCCTTAATTTCAGTGGGCCTACTCAGGGCAGGATACCACCCGGAAGAAACAAGAGAGCCCCGCATATAGAAAGCGAAGCTATTTTTAAGCTCTGCGAAAGATTTCCTTCCTTGAGCATAGCTGCTTAGCTGTGCACATTTTCTCTCTCGCCGGGGACTCGCCCTGTCAGCAGTTCTGACAAACGACTCCTGAAATATGACTGTGCATTCTTGCAAGCTCAGAGAGCAGCTCTTGAGTGATAGCTTTGCCTTCCAACGCAGGTGAAACGCCACTTGGATCCTCTTCCAGCTGGCTACTTCTACAACGGGACGCAGTTTGTGAATTTCTTTGGCGACAAGTTGGATTACCATCCACGTATCCTTTTAAAAAAAGAAAAGAAAAGCATGCATCTGTGCACTCTGCAGCCTGTTCAGCCCTTTGCAGCCATATTGAACCAGTAAACCTTTGGACTGTCTCTAAAAGCAACTGGGCAACAGCAAGCAGCTTCCTAGGTAAAGGGACCCCTGACCATTAGGTCCAGTCGTGGCCGACTCTGGGGTTGCGGCACTCATCTCGCTTTACTGGCTGAGGGAGCCAGCGTACAGCTTCCGGGTCATGTGGCCAGCATGACTAAGCCGCTTCTGGCGAACCAGAGCAGCGCCATCTACCTTCCCGCCGGAGTGGTACCTATTTATCTACTTGCATTTTGATGTGCTTTCGAACTGCTAGGTTGGCAGGAGCTAGACCGAGCAACGGGAGCTCACCCTGTCGCGGGGATTCGAACCGCCGACCTTCTGATCGGCAAGCCGTAGGCTCTGTGGTTTAACCCACAGCGCCACCCGTGTCCCAGGCAGTTTCCTAGGGTGGCACAAAGTGGAGGCAGGTGTGCAAAAGACCCCAAATAGTCACATTCGATCTCCTCCTCTGCGGTGCTGAGCTCTGGGTCCTTGCTTCCGGCAGACTGTTTCATTACAGAAAAGAAAGCCTAGTTTGCTTGTGACAAACTCAAACGTGGGCTTGTAAGCCGAGGTGAGGGATTTGTCTCCAGGCTGAGGGCCGCTTTGCCTTGTGTGCAATCTTCTGAGGGCCACATGCCGGTGGGAAAGGAGGGCTAGAAGCAAAATTAGGCAGGACAATAATGAATCCACAGTTTCGCTTTCTGCGCTAACCTGCGCACGCGAAACACACCCCTCTCCATCCCCCATCCAGGCCAAGCACGAGGCATTATCAGAGTCCAAGCCTGGCAGAAACAGTTTAAGGAGTGAAGCAAGGCTTCTGGGTGGGGTGGCGGCCTGGGGAAGTGTTCTGAGGGCCGGGCGGATAGGCCTGGAGGGCCACATTCTGCTGCCAGGCCAGAGTCCCGATGTGAACCTTCCAGCAAGCAAGACTTGACAACTTCTTACTTGATAGCTCGGTTGTGTACAGTGTGGTGCTGATAACGCCAAGGTTGCAGGTTTGATCCAGATTCCTATTCCAGAATTGCAGAGGGTTGGACCAAATGATCCGCAGGGTCCCTTCCAACTCTGCAATTCGGTGATTCAGTAACTTCAGATCAGATTTTAGCCAGGTCAGGAAACTGCAGGCCTTTTCGATCAGATAAGAGTATCAGTATATGGCACAGTATATGGGAAGCTGCCTTATACTTAGATTTGCTCCTTCTGCCTGGGATTGCCTCCTCCTGAGGAAGCCTGTGGGGTGCCATCCACATGCTCTTGAACTACCTGCATGGCCAATAATAATAATGGATGCTGGGAAGTTTCAGTTGGACAACCAACATGTTGGTTTCCCCCCGGTCTACTCTTACCTGGCAGCATATTTCCTCCAGGGTCTCAGGCAGATAGAAAAGAGAGTGTGTGTGTCCTTTTCCCTTCCTTCTGCAAACTGGTGTTTTTAACTGGATACAAACCAGCAACCTTCCACAGTGGATCCAGCAAGCGAGCCCCGCCACTGAGCAGAAGGTGGCGAAAGCAGATCCACGTGCCCTCCAGCGCTTGTTGGGCCGCTGTGCAACTCTTGATCTTTTTAGCAAGGACTGTAGGAAAAATTCCCAGTGGATTGGGTCCCATGTTAAAACAGGGGGTGGGTGGGCGGGCGGTGTCACACTTCTGACCATCTTTCAGGAGCTGCTAAAGCCCCCACCTTAAATGGCTCCTGGCAGGATTTCTTCTCCTTAACAGCCGATTCACCCCAGTGATGGATCAGTTCATGAACGACTACCTGGAGGAGGCGAACCGTGAGATTGAAGAGTACAACCGAGAGCTGGAGGAACTGGAGTACCACGACCTCTTTGAGCAGAAGACCTAAGCGAGAGCCGCCTGTGCCAAAGCACAAAACCCTTGATGAGATTGGGGCAAAACGTCAGTGACCAAGAAACGCTTTTTGTCCTTGCTGGCTAACAGGAAAATGAAATCATCCGTTTTTCAACTATTCTTCTAATATTTAGTTTCCATTCATGTAAAGTTGGCCTTTTTTCTTTTCTTTTTTAAGAAATGCTGATGCACTTCCACGTTAATGTTGAGCTCTCGGTCCTTGAATTCTCTTTGGCTTACAGTGGAAAGGAGATGTGTGGCTTGCTTCTTGTTTTAAATTACAAAGCTGCATTTCCTAGTTTATGAAGCTGGTCCTGACCGTAGTTTTCTGATGCCCCACAATTGCCCCTGTCCAAATTGCCCCTGTGTGTTCCTAAAGCGAGAAATGGGGGAACACGTGAGCTCTTGAGAGCTTCTCTTAACCAACATGGTGGTTTTTGGGGTGTTCCTAAAGCGAGAAATGGGGGAACACGTGAGCTCTTGAGGGCTTCTCTTACCCAGCATGGTGTTTTTGGGGTGTTCCTAAAGCAAGAAGTGGGGGAACACGTAAGCTCTTGAGCGCTTCTCTTAATCAGCATGGTGGTTTTTGGGGTGTTCCTAAAGCGAGAAATGGGGGAACACGTGAGTTCTTGAGAACTTCTCTTAACCAGCATGGTGGTTTTGGGGGTGTTCCTAAAGCGAGAAGTGGGGGAACACGTAAGCTCTTGAAGACTTCTCTTAACCAACATGGTGGTTTTTGGGGTGTTCCTAAAGCGAGAAATGGGGGAACACGTAAGCTCTTGAAGACTTCTCTTAACCAACATGGTGGTTTTTGGGGTGTTCCTAAAGCGAGAAATGGGGGAACACGTGAGCTCTTGATGGCTTCTCTTAACCAGCATGGTGGTTTTTGGGGTGTTCCTAAAGCGAGAAATGGGGGAACACGTAAGTTCTTGAGAGCTTCTCTTAACCAACATGGTGGTTTTTGGGGTGTTCCTAAAGCGAGAAATGGGGGAACACGTGAGCTCTTGAGGGCTTCTCTTAACCAGCATGGTGGTTTTGGGCGAGAAATAGGGGAACACAAATGCTAAAGTGAAAGTTGGTGTCACACTTGCAGTTTCTGTGACTGTACCCTTGCTGTAAAACAGAACATCTGGTCTTCTGTTTGGTACATTAACAGCAATGTGTCAGTTTGTTCCAGGCTGAACTAAGAGCCGCAGCCACTTCTTGAGTGTTAAGAGTTCTACTTGAGTATTAAGAGCACGCCTTTTAGAGCGTTTCCAGTAAGTGCCCAAGGATGCACATCTTTGCAGTGTTGGGAAAGTTGCAACGCATTCAGGGCCAGCTTGGATAAATAGCTTACTGCTTTTGGGCAGGATGGGACTGTTTCCCGTTAGATTCATTGGCTGTTGTGTTGGCACGGTTTCTGTGTGTGCGCTGGAGTCAGACCCCATGTCTTGAGTCTTCTGTGGGCTCATTCCTGCGTGGTTCTGGCCTGTGCAAATGACTCCTGTGTAGACCCAGCGCATGCATGAAAGACGGGCCTGGAGGTGCAAACCCCGCAATCTGGCCGCCCAGTGACGGTTTGCATGTGTGTCCGCTGCGGAGTCTAAACCACATGAAAGCAGTTGCTTGGTGGTTTTCATGGCTGCCGTGGCCTCCTGAGAATTGAAGGCTGAAGGGCAGGACACAATATGTGCATCTTGGTAGCTGGAGCGATTCAAAGACCCGTCTCCTGAGAGGCGCTTCTAAAACTCAAGTAGAAAAGCAAGCGTGTCAAATCAACCTGCTTTATCCATCGGAAATAACAGAAATACGGCTGGACTCCAAAAGCTGAACCGGCCTGTGGCTTCCTATAAAAACTTGATGCGAAATTCTTAATCTCCAGTAAATGATAAAGAGAGGGAGCCTCATTGGGTAGCGTACTCTGTATCCCCAGTTGAGCATCTTTCACTCCTGGCGGATTCATCCTTAGAAAAAGAGCCCCAGCTTAGCATTCTAGGTGACGCAGCTTAGATTTTGAATGTTTGCATATGTTTTCATTATGCCTGTTGAAGTTTGTTTTTTCCTCCCTAGCCTAAATTACTGTTGCACTCCATGGGCCCTTGAACAGGCATGAAGCGGTTTTCGTAAAACTGAAGGCCGGCTTTTTTTCCTTGTTGACTAAATATTATTTTAAGCTTTCTGTGGGGTCGTAAATGCCCGTACTACAGGTAACAGGGCATCCTCCTAAGGATTGTGGATTTATCTATGCATGACCGTTACCTTAGTTAACTCTTGGAATAATATACTGATAGTGCCTGGTAGTATAAATGGTAGCTAGCAAATTAATTTTGGAGGGGCAGTTGGTGCGTTTGAGCTAAGCCAGCTTGGCTGGAACATGCGTAAAGGTAAGGTGTTCTCTTCAGGTGGCTCCCACAGCGAGCAGGGGGAATTCACGCCTGACCTTACGCCATACGCTTTGAAACAGAAACCAATTTCTGAATCATCCCTCCAGAAAAAAAAGAGAGCAATACTGAGAAGCAGCTTCTCAGGAGCTGGCGCACAGGTTGGCATGGGTGTATCGACTGACGGTAGACCTGTGTTATCCTGTTGCTCAGATTAAGAGCATGGTGCGTAGCCCCTTCCTGGGGGGCTACACAATATCTCCTGTCTTCCTCCCCCTTTGAAGCTGGCTTCTACCATGGAAGCCAGCGAGAAGCCGTCGTGGGCCAGGAGGGCTCCGAGTTTGTGGGTCTGTGCCCAGTCTCTGGCAGAGCCCAGGTCCTGAATATGGTCCTGTCAAGAGCAAGATTTATATTAGCAAAGAGAGATTCTGGCAAAAGGAGGCCAAGTATCGGTTGCCGGAGGTGGCACACAATTTGCCCCTCTTGTGGCTGTTTGGCAAGTTTGAAGTCTTTCTCTGGTGACAAGAGTTCAGGCAGCAAAGCCTGGCTTTTGGGAAGAGGGCTGAATTCCTCTGTTGCCTTTGGCTTGCTTCTCCGCACTTAAACTCCAGATTTCTAACATGTGCTCATTCGTGTATCGGGCCCAAACTGTTGCCAAGTGTGGCAAATATTTAAAAGCATGCCAAAGGCAAAGCACCTTCAGATCAGCCACAGCTCGATCACATAAGCCAATCAAGAATTGGGGTGTCTGGAGTTTTCTGGAGGGATAAAAGGCCATGATCCACTGGAAACCCTCTTGCAAGGCTCCAAATTGATGCCAGTGAGGGTTCCTGGTGGATTGTGCCAAAGCCGATGGGTGGAGAGGGTGTTAAGCAACTCCCCCCCCCAATCAACATAGTTTAGCACAAACCCCAATTGCTCCTCTCTAGCTTAGATTGTCTAATGATCTGCAAAAGCCATATATAGAGATAACCGCGTTTGCTACGCAGCTTCTCGGAAGATGAGGCAAACGCAACGTGGATGCGTTGCCTCACCTTCTTCGTGGATTATGATCGTAGATTTTTAAGTGCAATTGTTATTAAAATAGGTGAAGAGATTGTAGCTTACTTAGCTCTGCTGAACTCTGAAATTTACAAAACAGAAGCCTGGGCAGATCCCAAAGAGCAGATCCTCCGGCGGCTGGTTCTAACCATTGCCTTTTTCAGCCATGAGAGCTGCTTTTACAAGAGACTCACCAGGCTGCCCCGAGAATTTGCTTCAGGGCAATCCCATGCCTCGCAGCTGTAGACTTGGCAACAGCATTTTATGGGACAATGTGGCAAGCAGCATCCGGCACACACAACTTCCTCTGTGCCACCGCGTGCCATCCAGACCTTTTGGCTGGGGCTGGCGGAAGTTGGGATCCCACAGCACGCGGAGGCCTCAAACCAGGAAGACCTTCTGGAGATCTTCCTCCTTGGCTGCCTCTAGCGGTGTGCAGAAATTAGGCTGAGCCTCTGCATTCGAAGAGCATCCTGGTTTGGCGATATCCGCTGTGTCGAATGATTTCTGTAGCAGCCACAGAAGATGTGCTGGCCTTAAATGGGCATATCCCTTTTGGGCAGCCATCAATGAGGCACCAGGAACGCTCTTGAGAGCAATCCTCACTTTAAGGTCAGGCACCTCATTTCAGTGCAGTTCAGTCCCTCTGCGCAGGCAGGGAGGCTGCCTCAGCCGGTGAGGAGGACCGCAGGGCGGACAGTGAGGAGGAGGAGGCTGCTGGGTTTGTTTCGCCCCTCCGTTTTATTCCAGGGGCACCAAATGGGCTGTTTGGGGCATTGGCACAGGGCCATGCCCTAGGCTCCATCCCATGACTTGCCAACGGCTGTTGGGCAAGCTTCCAAAGGGGCGCTTTCTGCAGTTGGACCCCTAAGCTGTGGGGACCAAGCAAGAATGGGCAGGGTGTGTGAGTCTAGAATCCCCCGCCCATCCCAGTGGGGCTGCACAGACAAGTCAGAGTTTTAGCAGAACAGAGGCATGGTAGAGAGAGACATATATATATATCTCTATATGTATACGCTGTACTGCATGCTAAGTAAGAACAATACACCTGTAATAACTACAAAGGCCTTTCACCATTCTGGTACTGCAATGACTTCTATTTTGGTATTGACGAAATTTTCTCGATTACCTCAATTTCCTTAACGTTCAGCTGTGATTTTGTTTTTAAAAGAAATTAAAAGGGGGTGGGGAGTGTTGGGGGAGGGGACAAAATAGCCAAAATATCGAAACTGTGACACTGGGATCCTGTTCAAGACATATCAGTGCCTTGCTTTACGGCACCGCCGCCGACGCGGCACAAATTTTTCAAGCGGGCGGGCGCCGTTGGTTCCTGCTGCTCGCTCCCTCTTTTGAAGGGAAGAAGAAAAAACCATTTTGGTGAAAGGACTCTCCACCTAGCGGAGAATATTTAGCACACATGGTTAAGTTGTTCGGGTTTGTTGTGTCTTCTTTTTTAAAAAAGAAAACTCTTTGAGGACTGAAAACGATTGAAATACTTGATTCTGCCGGCATGTTTAAGACAATTCTATTTAGGGAATTGCTTCAATAACCCGGCAGCATTTTTATAAAGGGGTGGGTTGGGGAGCTAACTCGTTTGTTTGTTTTTTTACAAGGGGGGGGCGGGACTTGCATCGCCGAATAAAATAATCTAGTTTTGAAATGTTTCAAGCTACTGTAAAACGCAGAGCACCGTTCTAGTTGCAACTATTCAAAGTGCCATTAACACTGTTCTTGCACTGCGGCCGTTTGCGGTGAAAAAAAGAAAAGGAAAAGAAAACGGCGGCAGTGCCAAGAGTCGGAGCTTTCCTTGTGTATGTGTGTTTTTCTCGTGGAAATGCACAAATCGAGTCCTCAAGGGGTTTCTCTCTGCTTTTGCTGACCTTCCCATTAGCAGCCTGTGTGGTTTCATATCACCTGAGAATGAGTGTGGTCAGAAATCGCTGAAGTTATATTGTGGGCGGGGAGGGAGGGGAGGGGTTGCAACAAACTTTGGGAAAGCGAGGGGGTACATTTGCAATTCAGACTCTGTGCTGCTAGGGGCGCGTGTTGCGGTGAGACAAGGGGCTGCCGCTGAAAATGGCAGCCGCCCTCCTGCAGCGACAGAGGGGCGCGAGATCTAGATTTTGCAGGGAGCCCTGCATGTGATTGGGGTTTTTGCATATGCAGAATCTACTTCTCCCGTCAGCTAGGGATCCTGGGCGCGGTGCTCCTGCACAAGTCCGCCTTTCATCCCAGTGGGACTTTTGCGATTCTGTCCCTCTGGATCCTCTGCAGACGCCGAAACGCGACAGTGTCGGCCTGGGACGCCCGAGTCAGCAGCACAGACCCAGTTTGTGCGCTGAAAGTGTTCCCCGTGTTCTTTTTTCTCTTTTGAGATCATTTTTTTTCTCTCACTCCTGAATTTTGCACAGCTAATAAGCTCCGGAATACCGTTTCGGGTATCCTCAAAAGGGAAAATTGTAACTAGCATAGCGAGGGAAGGTAAAAACGTAAACTGTGAGTTGTTAGAACTGCGTTGCTAAATCTAATTTTAGATGTACCTCAGAAAACTAGTAAGAAACTGCTTTGTCCTTTTACCTAGTTGTGAAAGACTCGCATAACAAATTCTTCTTTTTTTTTTTTACCAGGTGCCAAAATTAATTTTTCATACTAGTTTTCAACCCGTTAATATTTGCAACGTTCAGTAAAATGTTATTTTTACAAACTCTACTGTAACTTCAGTTAAACTGAAATGAGTGAATGAAGCTTTTTTGCTTATTTGTATTTATTACACTACTTGATTCAGTAAATATATAAAAGTACCTTTCCCTTTATTTTTGTATTGTTTTACACGTTTATACCTGCTGTTTGTGATTATTATTTTTTACACTTGTAACTTGGATGCGATTCTAAAAAAAGCCCAATAAATTATATCCATCAGTTCTATCCGTTTATTTATGTGTGGGTGTGTGAATGCTGATTGGCTCACTTGCTTGAGTTGTATTGTGCTAGTTTTCTCTGCACGAAACTTCTTGTGGGTTGCGACTGCTTGGTTGCAGCTGGTGGCCTATGGCAGTGTTATGTACTGAGTTGAATAGGATCCAAACTGCAGCAGTCCGATTGGTCCTAGAACAATAGGATTCAAAATGCAGCAGTCTGATTGGTCCTAGAACAACAGGATTCAGATTGCAGAAGACTGATTGGTCCGCGGGAGCCACCCAATCCAACTCTGGGTGGAAGTGAATCCGCAACCTGATTGGCCTACAGGAGAATCCCAGAATTAGCCAATCACGTGGGGCCCATTGTGTAAATAATGTATATAAAGCAGACATTCTGGGGTAACTTCCATTCCTCCTCACCACTATGAGCAGAATAAAGAGCATGAAATCCACTCTCGACTCCGAGTATATTTCAGGCGGTGTGGATTCACTTTTGATTCTGCCTCTTTGAAAGTGGCCAAACACTTTTGATTCTGCCTCTTTGAACTCTTGCCCACATTTAATAATAATAATAATTTTATTAGATTTTCAAGGTTTTAGTAAATTTACTGCATATGCATTATATATCATTCACTTACACTTTGCTTTTTGACTTCCCACCCCTCCCTCCCTGATGTTTTTATTCTTATTCTTTGCTATTGCATTCTACTGTTTGGTAAACCTATTATTACTATTAGTCCTTCACCTGAAGGTCCCAAATCAGGCTACAGCATTTAAATCACAAAATTAAAAACAATGCAAAATAACTTACAACCGTAAAAATAAGGTAGGTCCTAAAAATGTTAAAAAAGGGGAAAGGACCCCTGGACGGTTAAGTCCAGTCAAAGGCCAACTATGGGGTTGTAGCGCTCGTCTCGCTTTCAGGCCAAGGGAGCCGGTGTTTGCGCACAGTTTTCTGGGTCGTGTGGCCAGCAGAATTAAACTGCTTCTGGCACAATGGGACACTGTGACGGAAACCAGAGCGCACAGAAACGCCGTTTACCTTCCCACTGGAGCGGTACCTATTTATCTACTTGCGCTGGTGTGCTTTCGAACTGCTAGGTTGGCAGGAGCGGGGACAGACCAACAGGAGCTCACCCATTGCGGGGATTCAAACTTCTGACCTTCCGATTGGCAAGCCCAAGAGGCTCGGTGGTTTAGACCACAGCGCCACCCGCTCCTCAAGGGGCCAAATGCCAGGGTCAATGGTTCTCTCCCAGCTTGCACAGCTGGACTAAGATCCCTTCATCCAACACTGGGCCAAAAGGGCTGCAGAGGAAGCCTTCCCAGCTGTGAAAACAGTTGCCCAAGTTGGTATTCCCACCCAAAAAACGGATGCAACAAACTGCTTTCTGCGCAGTCCAGGACGGAGAACGGCAGCGGGTGGTGGTGCTTATTGCCAATTTGGGCACTCAGCAAGATCACCAGGCGCCGGGGTCAAGACAAGCCTCTCTTGGCGACCGTCTACCCCAGCCCCTCAGGTAGGCCCCTGCCTGTCCCCATTGCTTGGGTTGAAGGAGGAGAGACACCTTCAGCCATGTGTCCTTAGCAAGGGGACCGGGCTTCTTGCCACAATGGCTGGCGAAAGCTGTCTTGTCCAGAACTCCCTTTATCTCCTGCCTGGGAGTGATGAACTGCCAAAGCCGACTTTGCAACCCCGCTACTGCAATTGCTGCTAAGTTGCAGAGGGAGATAGCGAGGTGCTAATAAAGCAGCTGGGGTGAGAGCAGGGGGGTTGTTTTGTGGGGGGAGGAGAGATTTTTACCTCTCTCCTCCATTACACACTCTGTTTCCCCCTCTTTCTTTAGCAGAATCAGAATTGTAGGGTTGCAAGAGACCCACTTCTAGTCCAACCCCTGCAGGGATTGCAACTCATTAGCTGCCGGTTCTTAATTGCGGTGTCCAATTCTGGGCACCACAGTTTAAGAAGGATGTTGACAAACTGGAATCTGCACAGAGGAGGGCGACTGAGATGATCAACAGTCTGGAAACCAAGCCTGATGAGGAGTGGTTGAAGGAGCTGGGTATCTTTAGCCTGGGAAAGACGAGACTGAGAGGAGATAGGAGAGCCATATTCAAATGTCTCAAAGGCTCTCACATGGGAGAGGGAGCAAGCTTGCTTTTCGGCTGCTCTGGAGGGCAGGACTCGAACCCATGGCTTCAAGTTGCAAGAAAGGAGATTCCAACTAAACATCAGGAAGAACTTTATGACAGTAGATGCTGTTTGACAGTGGAACGGTCTCTCCTTGGAGGTTTCGAAGCAGAGGTTGGATGGCCATCTGTCATGGATGCTTTAGCTGGGATTGGGTTGGACTAGATGACCCCCAGGTCCCTTCCAACTCTACAATTCCATATTTCTATATGATAAGCCCTCAGTGGCCAGATATGGGTGCTGACACTTTTCCCAAATGATGTTTCCTTTGCTAGGGTGTCTTTGAACCTAGTTTTGGTGGGTGTTTTCTCTCCCAGGGCCTGATTTTGAAGAGGGATGGGTTGGGGTGAGGGAAAACCCTGTGTTGACCGTCAGAAAACGTATGTATTGGAGGAGGGGGAGAGGAGGATCATACCTGCTGCTGCCTCAGCTTTCTCCCTAAGCCCCATCTTCCTATTCCTGTCTGCCCAGAGCATGAGTAGGCAAACTAAGGCCTGGAGGCCGGATGCGGCCCAATCACCTTCTCAATCCAGATGGTCCAGGAATCGGCGTGTTTTTACATGAGTAGAATGTGCCCTTTTATTTAAAATGCATCTCTGGGTTATTTGTGGGGCATAGGAATTCGTTCATTATTATTTTCCAAAATATAGTCTGGCCCCCCACAAGGTCTGAGGGACAGTGGACCGGCCCCCTGCTGAAAAAGTTTGCTGACCCCTGGGCCCAGAGGCTTATGATGCAGACCCCACGCTCAGGGTCTACGTTTGCAGACCCTTGCCAAGACTATACCACACCTGCCCCCTAAGCTTTGAGGGTCAACAGGTACAATCCTGACCTCCCACAGCATCAGTCCGTGCTTTGCAATGAACTGCAGAGCAGACCCAGTTTCTCCAAACAGGTAAGTCAAGTTATGCAGCTTTTGAGAGGATGGGGAGGAATAAGTTTGAGGCTTGGCAAAGAAGGGCTTGCCCTTCTTGAAAAGGTGTACTAAAAAAACTGATGGGGAGAATTCAAAGCCCCATATATGGCTTGATTTTGTTCCTTAGATGGCTGTGGGGAGGTGGGGACTGGTCCATAGGATAATACCTACCAGGGATGAACTGCTGCACTCATGAAACCTAACACTTTTCCTGGGGTGTTTGTGTGTGTATATAATTTTATTTATCATTCTTCACATTTCGTTGATTTTAACCATACATTCAATCACTGACTTATTCCCTTCCCTCCCTTCTGTGGTTCTATTTATTTATCCATTAAGGCTGCATATTCTAATTCCACCATATATTCATATTTCTCCCTTCCCCCTATATCTTTAATACTTTATTTACACTGCTGAATTTACACTAACCCTGCTAACGTTTTAACCTGATTAACATAGTTCTTCAGATATTCTGCAAACATTTTATACTCTTCCTTAAATACTCAGTCTTCCTGATCTCTTATTCTCTTAGTTAAATTTGCTAATTCTACATCATCATCATCATCATTATTATTAATTTAGTTTATATACTGCCCTATATCTGGAGGTCTCAGGGCAGCTCACAGAAAAGATCACAACATATATAATCAGAATAAAAACATCAACCCAATAACACTCCCCCCCCAAAGAGCCACCTTTTAAAAGGGTATAGGATGCCAAACAGATCAACCGAAGGCCTGGTTACAAAGGAACATTTTTGCCTGCTGCCTAAAGGTGTATAATGAAGGTGTCAGGCAAACTTCCCTGGGGAGAGCATTCCACAGACGGGGAGCCACTGCAGAGAAGGCCCTGTTCTCGTGTTGCCACCCTCCGGACCTCTTGAGGAGGAGGCACACGAAGAAGGGTCTCAGAGGATAATCTCAGGGTCTGGGTAGGTTCATATGGAAAGGGGCGGTCCTTGAGGTATTGCGGTCCTGAGCTGTTTAAGGCTTTATAGGTTAAAACCAGCACTTTTAATTGGGCCCAGAAACTAACTGGCAGCCAGTGCAGTCGAACCAGGATCAGTGTAATATACTCAAACTGTCTTGCAGTCCGGTGAGCAACCTGGCTGCTGAATTCCGCACTAGCTGAAGTTTCTGAACCGTCTTCAGAGGCAGCTCTATGTATAATGCATTGCAGTAATCTTGAGGTTACTAGAGCACAGACAACAGTAGGCTATCCCTGTCCAGATAGGGGAGTAGCTGGGCCACCAGCCGAAGGTGATGGAAGGCACTCTGGGCCACTGAGGCCACCTGAGCCTCGAGCAACAGCACAGGATCCCGGAGTACCCCCAAGCCACGAACCTGCTCCTTCAGAGGAAGCGTAACCCCGTCAATAGCAGGTGACTTCTAGGGAACCACGCATGAACAGAGCCTGTCTTATCTGGATTGAGTTTCAGTTTGTGGGCTCTCATCCTGTCCATTACCAAGGAAAGACAATTGATTTCATCCATGAGATATTAGAAGATGGCTCTCATATCTCCTCCCAGTCTCCTCTTTCCCAGGCTAAACATGTCCCAACTCCTTCAACTGTTCCTCATAAGGCTTGGTTTCCAGACCCTTGATCACCTTGGTTGGCCCTTGTGTACATGGCTTGGCTGGAACCTGGCCCAGGACTTCTGTCCAATCCAGCTGGAGACTTGGGGTGGGGCAGAGAGTTAAGTTTCCTGAGAGTCAAAGACCCCTGGACCATTTTACCCTGAAGCGTCGCTTAGAGTCGATGAACTGCCTTCGACGTTGAACGAGAGGATGACGTCCATGCTTGGGGAGTCCCGGGAGAATTTGACGGCCACCTTCAGCATCGTCGCAGCAAGGCCAGTGTAGACCTCTCCCTCCCACACTTTGTTCTGGCCCAGTTGCAGCTCCCA